TAATATGATATTTATACCTTGATTTTCAACAGTTTTTGTCTCGTTTTTCTTCCATGAGGTACTTAAATGTCAATTGCAGTTGAAGTCATTTTATCTTATTTAAGAGCATTTCAGAAAGAGACTCTTGCCTAGTATAGGAGTAAGGTTGTGATCATTAATTATGATATGTCAACTGAACTGGATTGAGAAACATCTCAGTGATGAGTAAAACCCACTTCTGGCTGTGGGTCACGAGGCGTGACTGGGTACTAGGTATGGTCCCTGGACCCTCACTTTCTGCATTATTCCTCCCCTATGCTTCCTACCTGCCCTGAACTAAGCATCTTTGCTCTATCATGCTCTTCTGCCATGATATGCCTGCTTGGAGCCAGATGATAATGGTCTGAATCCCCTGAAACCACGACCCAATTAAATCTCTTCTCCTTTAAGTTGGGGGTGTCAGGTACTGTGTGATGTGTAGGGACAAGAGAGTATGATGAGTAATTTTATATTTCAACTTGGCTATATGGTCAAACATTATTCTAGATATTTCTGTGATGAGAGTAACACTTTAATTGGTAGGCTTACAGTAAAGTAGTTTATCCTCCCTAATGCAGATAGGTTACATTTTTTTTTTTTTTTTTTTTTTTTTGTACCGGGGATTGAACTCACAACCTCGCACTTGCCAGGGAGGCATTTATGTCACTGAGCTAAATCCAGCCACATCCAATATTTTGAAGGCCTTAATACAACTTTCTTCATCTTACTTAAATTTTTGTTATGAAAATGTAGATATATATAGATAGATTTCATACACTCAGGATCAATATAATTATTAACATTTGCTTTATTTGCTTTCTCTCCATCATACTCTCTTATTCTTAACTACAGAGAGACACATCATTGTTGTGTTGAATTTTTTTTTTTGTACCAGGGATCAAACTTATGATCCCATATTTGCTAGACAGGTGTTTATGCCACTGAGCTAACTTCCCAGCCCTGAATTATTTCAATATAATTTGCACACATGTCATCCCCAAATCCTTTAGTGTGCATCTCTTTGAAAAAAGAAAAAAAAAAGAACATTCCACATAACAATAATGTCATTGAGATCTCTAAGAAAAATTAGCAAAAATTCCATAATATATTACACATCCAAATCTCTGCAAATATTCCAAGAACATCTAAGTTTTCCTAACTAAACCAGAAGCCAGTGAAGATTTACTTATTGCATCTGGCAAGTCTCTTCAACATCTTTTCATCCACTGACATATATTCTATTACATTGACATTTTTGAGAGTCTATGGCCAATTATCTTACAAAATGTCTAGCATTCGGGATTTTTCTGTTTTTCTTCATGTCATTTAACATGTTCCTTTATCCCACGAATTTCTCATAAACTGGAAGTTAGGGCTGACCTGATCAGGAAATTCCTACTGAAAGCACCTGATGTCACGCTATTCCACTATAATTGATGTTTAACTGACGACAGATCTCTCCATCCTAAGAGTATATTCTTTTTCTTTTGCAGTTACTAAGAGTTCTTTGGGTTTAGTCTTTTCAACAAGAGTTCATTGCAAACTAATACAGTGATGCAAAAAAAAATGTTCAGGGGCTGGGGATTTAGCTCAGCGGCATAAGAACCTGCCTCGAAAGCAGGCAGTCATGAATTCGATCCCTGGTACCAATAAAAAAAAAAAGTTCAAAGATTAGGAGGGTGCATGAAAGACATCTAACAAGGAAGAACAGTGGAGCAGCTCTGCTTTTTACCAGAGAATGATAAAAAGGCAGTGATAAAACATAAGGATATCAGAACCTGAGACGTTGGCACTGAAATAAATTCAGACATATATCATATGGGAGAAAAGAATGTGTCTCATAGTTTTGAAATCATTCCAAGTACTTCATAATTTGCCACATGATGAATCTGTCTTTGGTCTGTGTTTTCATTCTATTTTGATGTTTTATTTAAAAATGGACATCTTATCAGATCTTTTATGTGAGAATTTAGAGTGAACTCCCCTCTCTACTTAGAGTACGTGAGTTAAGTCTCCCTTTACACCAAACCCATTGAACCTCGCATATGTGAATTACTGATTCCAACAACTAAATTTCAAAACATACACAAACTCAAGAGGTTCACCAACATTTTGAGAACTTGGGCCAAGTCAGGGTTGCATTCTGCTAGTCACTTATCTGCAGTGATTTCAAGGTTTGGTGAGCTTTGGAATTTTAAGACTTCATTTGCCAATATTTGTATTATTTCTAGATTTGGGGTACTAGAGTATCCTTTTAGAGGTGGTTTCTAGATTCTCTCTGTCTTGAGCAAACAATTGGTCAAGACAAGTGCAAATAATAACAAAGTATTACTAAAGGTGGAAAAGAAACAGGCTCTGCAGAGTGAGTTTCACCTAAGTAAAAGTAAGAAAAGAAGTTCACCTTACAGTGATAGTGGGCCACCATGCAATAGACAACCCAGTGGCAATAACTGAATTGGACTGTCCTTTCTGTATAATCCACTCCTCCGGCTGATGTAAAGTCTAAGCATCCGATAGAAAATTTGCTTGAGTTCTCACAAGAAGTCCTTAAACAGGGCTTTGGGAACTGTTCTGTGCACGTACACTGGGATTTTGTAATTAGCTTACTTCTGAGTCAGTTTTGCCACGCCCTAATCTTTTACCTTAGTATTTCCCCTTAGCCTAGAATGATTTCAATTACATTGTCCTGAATCTCCCCCATGTTAGTCAAACCAGCTTCTCTAAACACTGATCTTATAAAGGTATACCTCAAATTCTAAGTAGACTTTTGTTTTCACCAATGCTTGCATCTATCTAATTGAGCAACAATTTTAAAACTTACTTACTATGTTCTAATGTTCCCTATCTATCAAGTGTTTGCATTCCCTGTGAGATTGTTCACATTATTCTTCCCTTCTTTAGGCACTGTGACCCTAAGAAACTTTAACAAACCTTGTGATTTACAAAATCATATTTCAATCAACTTATTTCCATCATATACAACAGAAAATTAGTTGGAAATACTCCAGAAATAAAAGTAATCAGTTTGCTCCAGTTTACATATGCAAAACTTGAAGTGAAAGCTTAATAAATTTTAATACCAGTTGATTTAAGGCTAGACAATAATAATTTTTTCAGTGCTTACTGTATATTAGATATTGTTCTAAGCATTTTATATTTTTTTAAAAAAATTTTTTTTGTCTTTTTCCTTTTTATCGGTACCAGGGATCGAACTCATGACTGCCTGCTTGCAAGGCAGACGCTTATGCCGCTGAGCTAAATCCCCAGCCCCACATTTTACAGTTTTTTAAAAGCTCATTTAACCCCTTCAATTATATGAGAGTAAGTTACACTTACCCTCTCTTCACTTTTGTCAATGAGAAGACTGAAACAGAGAAGCGACCTATTTAGGATCTACAGCCAGCCAATTAGGGAGCTGGAATGGGAACCCAAGAAAGATGACTCAAAATCTTAACTGTTCTACTCTATCATCTCACAAGTTATGCTACTTGTGGCTACACTGTAACAGCTAGTTAGGAATCAGATTTGGTCCCAAGTTCTCTGAGATCAGATTCCATCCTTTATGGAAAAATCCAAAAGCAAATTGATTATCCCATGAAATCTGGTACTGATTCTGAGCTTACACTGAGCTATTATGTGCAAGCAATTGCTAATTTTCTACGATGAGAGATGAATGAATAAATAAGATCCAATACAGCCAAATACCAAACCCTCTCCCCCATAAAACCAAAAAAAGCACCTGCCTTTGGAAATATAATATCAAGTCATTTTTGTGAATGTGTTTTCTTAATTATGTTTTGCTAAAATTGCTATTATTGTCAGTTGCTATACTTTATATATCCCAACCACAAAAAGCTGCGAATGTCTTGCACAATATGCCTCTGTGGAAAAAGAGAAAAGATTGTAAGATCTCTTGTCCATCTCTTTCTTTCAACCTTGTGTCCCACGTTTTGGTGTATGTCTTAACTAATTTCTCATGTCAATTATTTTAACCTTGTCCTCAGTGGCTTGTCTCTCACTGCCATAGAAACCAAATCTGCCTCAGGAATTGTCTTCCTGTTCCTTTGACCCAAGCCCTCTGTTTTAGTCCTCTTTCAACTCCAAATCATCTGCTGAATGAAGTTTAAGCTCCTTGATCTAGGTTTCTGGGATTGTCTCTAATTTGCTCCCCTTTTATTATTCCCTTTTTATTTATTTATTTTTGTCTTTTTGAGACAGTGTCTCGCTATGCAGTTCAGACTAGTCTTGAGCTCACTTTGTAGCTCAGGTTAGTCTCGAACTTGCATTGAACCTCCTGTCTCAGCCCAAATGAATGCTGGGATTACAGGCGTGTGCCACCATACCCAATTTATTCTCTTTTTAGAAATAATACATTCCTGGAATAGAGGTTAAAGCATGTCATTATCAACCAAAATATTAAATGTAAGAATATATTTATATAGACCCTTAGAGTAAAAACATCTACCAATATTACCCCATTTAAATTGCATACTATTGCATATAAAATAATTATACACAAGATTATACGTATACACATATAAAATTTGCTAGTCTCACCATTTTCTATCATTTCAGAAAACACAGTCACATTTCAATTTAATGCTGCTGTCCGTGAAAAGCTTTTGGATTTGGAGCTCTTACTAACAGAATGGGTTTGGATGGGGAATAAAATAGTTTTTATGGGTTTGTTTGTTTTGATTTGTTTTGTCTTTTTGAAATAGAGTCTCACTGTGCAGTTCAGGATGGTCTTGAGCTCACTTTGTTGTCCAGGCTGGTCTTGAATTTGCAATGATCCTCCTGCGTCAGCCTCCCTAGTGCTGGGATAACAGGCGTGTGCCACCACGCCCAGCTAAAATAAAGCAGCTTAAAAGGCATCTCTGCAATTTTGGTGTTTTGCTTAGAACAAGCCTTGTCAAATTACAATGTGTGCGCGACCAGGTTATGCACTCGCTCTTGACTGAAACGATTACTTCCTGATAGCCTCTCGCCCTGGTCGGAACACCATCGAAGCGTATGCGCGTTCCTAGAACTACAATCCCACAAGGCAGTTCGGCTCAGGCGCCTGCGCACAGAGCGCTCGCTCGTTCTCTTCCGCTCCTTTTCGCCAGGAAAGACCCACCCGGCGGCGCTGTCGCTCGCGGTGAAAGAAGCGGAAGAAGATGGCGCTTGTCAGGTGGGTTGTTGACTTGGGGCCTTTATACGGAAGGGTCTGGGAGTACCCAGCTTTTTGTTTTCTCTGCCCACGCTCTTCGGTGGTGGTCTGGTTTGGAGCACAAAGTGACGTGGGCCGAGACCGTGGCTAGGCCCTCCCGCCAGCCACCGCGGCAACTAGGCCGCAGGGAAGCCTGGATCTTTCCCGAGGGGCTTCCCTGGTTGAGTTCACCCCTTCAAAGGGGCTGAGAGCCCCGACGTGGCCTCGCGGCTCAGCCGTCTCACGTGTCTTTCCCTTAGGCATGGCAGCGGGTTAGCTAGTTTTCCTGCCGTCTTGCCGCTGGGTAGACGCTACGGAGCTTTAGGCAGCAGCTTATACATCTGGGCTTCTGTACCCGGGCAGAGGGAAGTGCGCGGGAGGCTACTGCTCTGCTTCAGGCAGTTTGTCTCCGATGGTCTCCTTTCTTTTGCCACTCTTTTCCTGAACTAGGTTTTCTGAAAGGGGGTGCTAAACAGAAATTTTAAATTGGCCGCAAGAATTGCCACTGTCCACTAATCGGCGTGCACCGCTACTTAGCTCTTTAACTTTAGACTTTAGAATTTCTTCCATAGAACCATCCGAGCTGTTTGGTGTTGCCAGTTGCCTTGGTTACCATATATAAAGCGCTTCCAGACTTTTAAGGAAAAGGTACTCTTTAAGTGGGAGAGCCCAAGAAGTTACATAACTCCTTCCAGCCTGCGACCTTGTTGCTCCAAGTTAACAAACTTTTCTTGCAAACGCAATAGGAAAAGTTTGGTACTGAAAGAGTGTGTGACGAAAGTTATCATTTTAGGACCTAAGTTTGATCCCGCCTTACAGACTTCTTTCTCCTTATAGGTATTTAGTCGCAGGAAACCATCAACGATGTCTATGCAAAGAAAAGTTTGAGATTGCAAGAATAGGGTGTTAGATGTACACAAAGGACTACACAGAGTACTTAATTTGTACAGCACCATCCTTAGTGTGAAAAGAACTAGACAGGATGAGCTATTTGCACTAAAACGTATTTAAGGGTTTTTGTTTGTTTGCAGGATCGCGAGCGTGTGCGTGTGCGTGTGCGTGTGTGTGTGTGTGTGTGTGTGTGTGTGTGTGTTACAGCAAACCTATAATTGTCCCCAGGTGCAAGACACTGCTATAATGGAGTTATGAGAGAGTGTCTGTTTTGGTTTAGTTGGGTTTTTTTGCTTTTGCTTTTTTTTTTTTTTTTTTTTTTTTTGGTCTTTTTGAGACAGGGTCTCGCTATGCAATTCAGGCTGGCCTTGAGCTCACTTTGTAGCCCAGGCTAGTCTTGAACTCGCAATGATCCTCCTGCCTCAGCCTCCCGAGTGCTGGGATTAGGAGCATGAGTCACCACGGCCTGCTATGTTTTCTGTCTTTTTGAGAGAGGGTGTCAGGTGTCAGTTCAGGCTGGCCTTGAGCTCACTTTGTAGCACAGGCTGGCCTTGAATTTACAAAGATCCTCCTGCCTCGGCTTCCTTAGTGCTGGGATTACAGGTGTGCGCCACCACACCTGGCTTTATGAGGGAAGATGTTGTGGGAAAGGTGAAATGGACATTCAGGAACAATATGAGAGATGTGGTTGGTATTGTGTACTTAAGGTATTGTGTACTTAAAATTGCAATGGCAGCAATCTCAAAATGGCCTTTCCATGGCATTCACCTGGTGTTCCATGGTATCTGTTGTAATATCCTTTGTTAAAGAAATATATTAGTGATACAGCTCGGTGACACAAGTGCCAGACTGGCAAGCATGAAGTTGTGAGTTCAGTCCCCAGTACCAAAAAAAGAAAGAAATATAAATAATTTTTTTTAAGTTATGTGAACTGTCCTAACAAATGACTTTAACCCAAGGAAGTGGTGGTGGGGTTATCAAGTGGTATCCTCATCACGCCCTCCTTGGGTCAGAAGTACTGCTTGGCCAGTTTTGTGATTGGCAGTCACTCTTGTGGGACTGAGCGCTCAACCTGTGGAATCTGACACTATATCCAGGTAAATAGTGTCAGAATTAGATTAAGGTGCTCACCAGTTGTGCACTGGAGAATGCACAGAAAAACAGATTACCTTTGATGTGCAAGGAAAACATCCCATGTACTTGGTGTCATAAATATGTGTTGTCTTGTTAAGTAGGAAAACTTTTCCTATTTCTTTACATTTTATATCCTTACAGAGCTTAGTAGGACAAGCAGCCTATATATGATTTTAAAAATATATTCTGTTAACATGCTAAGGATAAAAGGTTAGAGAGACTCCAAAATTTGGGTGGAGTGGCTATATTTTACCAAGTTGTCAGAAAACAACTCTAGAGAGATGTGAACAGAGAATAAACAAAAATGTGAATGCTAAGGTACAGGTTACTAAAAGGTTGGGGAAATATTTTCTGTAAAAGCATTTTACAAATTGTTCTTAATAGAATATTTCATGGCAAAGGGAATAGCATATGTAAAGATCCTGAGAGTACTTGCTTAAGTAAAAGCAAGAAAGCTGAAGGGACAGAAGTGAGCACACAGAACAGAGTGAATTTACATCGATACTTAAAATCTTCTAAGGGCTACAAACCTTGAACTTCCCACTACTTGAACAGTGAAGTTTGAGGGGGAAAAAAAATCTGCTTAGTGTTCGTAACTGAAAATCCAACTTGGAAAAAACCTGAGAGTGAGTCATGCCTCACAGCAGACACAGGTGATGCTTTAGTGTAAGCACCACTCTCACCCAGACAACATATAGTGCTATGTTAGTGTAATCAAACATTTGTCATTGTGCTTTTTTTTCCTGCGCTTGATTTGCGTAAAATATCATGACCATAGCTTCAAAGAAAGCTACTGATACCAGTAGTAAAGCTAAGGGAAACAGTTAAATTATTCCAAAATTTGTAAAAGTCCTGAAAAAATGAATTTATAAGTGTAATTTTAGGACCTCAGAATCAGTATGTATCTTATAGGAAAATTAAGTTCCGTTCTCAAACTTCAGTGTTTCAACATGAATTTGGAAGGAATTGAGTTCAACAACCAGTTATCACTGTATTTCTTTTGGCAAACATTTAAGGAACTTCTGCAACTATCAGCACTTGGACAGTTAGGGATGAAAGGAGCAGAAAGCATGATACCTATCATCCAGTCGCTCACAATTTAGTGAGGATTAGTAAATGAACAGAGGATTGTGATACCTTAAAAGATGTTTTAGTGATGTACAGAGGACGTAGAGAGAATATATGTGAGGGCAGCCAATCCACACCCGAGGAATCATGGAACAACTCTAAATAATTTTGGAAAATGTATTGGCAGTATCTGGACACTGTGACAGCTGGCTTACAACTGTTATCATTTAATACAGGTTCATTATAAGGTACTTTTTTAATGACCTGTTACTACAAATGAGAAAAGTTCAGAGTGGTAAGTAGTGTAGGTTTTTAAGTGGCATAGATCGAATTTAAACTCTGAACTCTTAACCATCACAATAACTGATCTCTGACTGGATTAGATCTCTCTAATACATGCCATTTTAGCACTCTGTACTTTTCTGATCACTTAGTGTTTTTGTTTATTTGTTGGTTCGGCAGTTGAATCCAAGGCCTTCACAATGAGTATACCTCCGGACCTTTTTTTTTTTTTTTTTTTTGAGTCAGAGTTTCATTAAGACACTGAGTTTCCCAGGCTGGGTTTGAATTTGTGATCTCCCTGGATGCTGCCTCAATCTCCTAGAATGCTGGGATTACAGGATATACCACCGTGGCCAGCTTAATGTACTTGTAATTATGGGTTTCTCCCATAAAAGACTGTAAACTTTTTCAGTTGTTAGTCTCATTGGCTGTTGAGCATAGTACTGTCGCCCAAGTGATCAATATTTTTGAGTAAATAGTGAAGCTCTGCTATTCATTCATTTCTGCTTACTAGTTTAAAAATTTAAAAAGATTCTTGATTTTTTTTTCCGTTCAATGTGTTATTCATCTGTTCAGATCCTTTTTGAATACTTTGGATATCACTCTCTAATAACAGTTATAATAACTTAAAAGTTGTTAAAAATAGTTAAGTATAAAGTTGTTTTGCTTAAAGAAGTTGAATCTTTAAGACTTATATTTCCATTCTTTGACCTTTTAAGTTTTAAATTTCATTTGAACCTAAATACTCTTTGGAAAATGCACTTTAAACATATAGTTTGTTTTCTTTTTATCTCTCTCTTAGTTACACTCATTTTTAACCCTTGTACTTTTGTATTGACATTAAAATAGTTGTAAGAAGCATATGAGTAAAATAGTTTTTAAAAATGGAGTATAGAATAAAAGAATATTTAGAAAACCATGTACAGGTTGGTTAGCCCCTAGACAGTTGGTAATTGAGAATATTTGTGTCATAGTTAGAGGTTTTTATGTCTCTAAGAATTTCTTCCTATCCATACATGATTGGTATTGAATACTGCCATGAATCATGAATAAGTCTGCTCTTGAGTGATCAAAAGAAAAATCATTAAAGGAAAATCATCTGATAGTCGTATTAGGTCAATCAAATTAAATGTACAAGTTTTTAAAAATTCTTTTATTTTCTACAGCTTTTTACCTGCACCTACTCAGCTATCTCAGGACCAGCTTGAGGCTGAGGAAAAAGCAAGATCTCAGCGATCACGACAAACATCACTAGTTTCCTCCCGAAGAGAACCTCCACCATACGGATATAGGAAAGGTTGGATACCTCGGTTGTTAGAGGTAAATACAGATCTTCTGTTTGGACTTACTAAAGTATGCCGAAATTTATTATAGCTCACTTATAAAATAAATTTAACCTTAGAAAGTGTGGTTTTTAATGTCAGTGCAATAGTAAATCAGGTGTTCTCAAGACATATTTCCCTCAGAAGGTTTATGTTTTTCTTCATGCTTATTATTAATGGTTTGTGATCATTAGAGAACAGTACCATTTTGTTTCTTATGACAAAGTATTAAGACCCATACAGAGGAATTCACATACCCTTTATATGTCTAGAGTGCACAGCAAGTGGACAACAACAGAAGAGTAAAAGATAAACATGCAAGCATCATCAAAGTGGTTTTCATGCCCCATTCCACCAATGTCACATAGTCATGAAGGAACAGCCTTTCTCCAGGGAAAACTCCAGTAGTCCTTGCTTTACTGGTTTCTTTCTCTTCATCTGCTTTATTATCTTCAATTTGAGAATGTTAATACATGCCTCCTACACATATTAGATACAATTTTAGGAAGTGTGATAAAATTTCAGGTTTACTGAGGGATGAAGAGAAATCTGGAATGATTTTTTTGTGCCTCTAACTTGTTTGTTAAGAACACCCTTCCTTTACATCATGTGTTCTGATTACTCAGAATCATAGACAACAGTTCAAAGCATTCCTTTCTCTATCTGAGGATGACTTCCCATGCTTGACAATCTTTCATATGTAAAGAGAAGAGCAAATGTTTGAGGCTTAAATATTTCACTTATGCACCATCTTTGCTTCTTTCAAACCTTTATTATCTTCCCAATATGCATTCTGATTCTGCGAATATTCTTTCATATCCCAAGGATTACATACCCAATATGAAAATCTGAAGTGCCTATAAGCATTCATTTTTGTATTCTATCACTTTGTTGTGTTCTGTCTTTGTGTGGTTATGACTTTTACTTCACAAATGAAAAGGGGTTTTGCCTTTTTCATATGCTTCCAAGTAGTGATCGTAATATTTTTTGAAGTGAAACTTGTTGTTTAGATTCCTATGAATAACCATCTTTGTTCTCAGTCTGCCATGTTTTTTGTTCCCCTACCAGACTTTAGTGCCTAGGAGACAGACATCCAAGTAAATTGTATCTTGCCCTAACATATTCCCATTTTTTTTCTCAGTTTATTCTCAGTCTTATAAATTCCAATGTATGAAGGCCCATCTTACTGTGATTATTAAGTGATTTTTGTTGTTGCTTTTGTTTTTTTTTTTTCCAAGAGCATAATTTCTGAAAACCAAAGCAAAATAAAAGATCTTCAAGGAGACTATAACATCCTTTTATCTGAAGCAAATAGTTAGTGATTGTCATTATCTAAGTTTGGTACCTCTTTTGCTATAGGTATGCTTTTTTAGGGGATGACCAACCCATAGCACATAAGTGCAATGTCATCCTTATATTTTTGCTTTATGACATTTGATTGCTGCTACCTTCTTAAAATTTGAAATGATTATCAAAAGTTTCATGTATCTTGATAGAATAAAATAGTTTACTTGAAAATCAAACTAAAATAGCCACTAATCTGGAAATGCCATATATGCTTTGAGGGGAGTGCATATTCTGCAGAAAAAGATACTTTGTTGTACTTTTCAAAGGAAAAGCTATGATTTTTCTGGCAAACTTAATGACCACATAATGCTACATCTACACTTCTGAAGTGCTTATTATAGTTGAAGAACTCTAGCAAATCTGAGCATGTGTCAGATTGATGGGCTGGATAACAAAACTCTTTTTTCTTAGGAATGCTTTAATATTTGTCTAATACAAGAAAATGTTTCTTTCTGCTTTATTGACTTTCAAATTTTTCAAGTCTTTGTTTAGCAAATAAGTATATTGTACATAGAAATTCATCCTAGATCTAGAAGAATATTTCTTGAAGAAACTTTGTGAGAATGAATATTTACATTTTTTTCATCTAGCTTCTCTAAATATTGCCTTTAATATTTGTACTCTCATTCTTAGTAATACAGGTAGAATATACCCTATCTGAACTACTTGGGAGAATGAAGTGTTTCAAATTTTGGAGTTTTTCAGATATTTGAATAGACTTTACTAGTTAGACATCAGTAATCTGATTCAGAAATTCAAATGCTGATACTTTTGGGGCATCATGTTGAAGAAAAAGTTTTGAATTTCAGATTTTCAAATTAGGCCCACGCTCAATCTATATTGATTGGACTTTTTTTGTTTGTATTTTGAGACAAGGTCTCACTATGTAGTTCAGGGTGGCTTGAATTCATGGCAGTCCTCATACTTCAGGCTATGAGTGCTGGGATTACAGGTGTGGACCACTATGCTTGGCCCTGAATGGACTTTTTATAAAACTATTTTAGAATTATACTTAAACTTTGTATTTTTTTTTGATAAACTATTTTTTAAATATTAAACACCAGTGACAGACTATTCAAGTTGTTTTACTTTAGAAGTTTTAGTTCGTTCTCCCAAATACAGTGGTATCTTGGTTCACAAACTTAATTGATGCTAAAATTTTGGAAAAGATGGCCATGTTTGTGTGGGAAAGGTAACCACAGTTGTGTTTGTCAGCTGATGTAGAGATAGCAAACAAAAACAAAATTTTGCCAAAACCTCTGTTTGCAAACCAAGTTGTTTATAAACAAATGCATTTGTGAACCAAGGTGTAACTGTAATTGTATGTAATCACTATAGTCATCAACATTCTAGTTCCTGGGACCTGACATTTACAACGTAAGAGCAAAGTTTTTTTTTTGTTTTGTTTTGTTTTGGGTTTTTTTGCTCACAGTTTCAGAGGTTTCAGTTTATGGTTGTCTTGCTCCAAGGTAGGACTATCATGGCAGGATGGCATGATGGAGCACAGCTGTTCACTTGAGGGTGTCCAGGAAGCAACTCAGGGAAGGGTGACCCAGAAAGGGGCCACAGATCAGATAGTAGTTCTCAAGGTCACATCTCCACCTAGAAGTGTGCTTTACTAATCCCTGGGCATCTATGAAGCCAGTCAAACTGAATCAAGCTAGCTATCACACTCTACCTCTTGTCAACGTGACACCAAGACACTTCTCCTTAAGCCACACTTAGCTCATTTTACCTAATAGGATGTCACTATCCAGTGTATGACTGGGAACTTGTTAATTCCCTCCCCAGTGTCAGCAGTTGCAACATTGCTGGAAAGTTCAAGTCCTATGTTGTAGCTCTGAGACACAAGGCAAACTCTTAGCTGTGAACCCCCATAAGATTCAGAAAGCAAGTTACATGCTCCCCAGATACAATAGCAAGGTGTAAACATTCTCAATCCAAGTTGCATGCTCCCCAGATATAATAGCAAAGTGTAAACATTCCCAATCCAAAGGAGAGATGTAGGGGAATAGGAAACTATAAGAACAAACTAAGTCAGAAACATTAAGGGCTGTTATTTCACATATACTATCCAGGGCAAATGGTTATGATATGTGATTTCCAAAGTGTGTACCCATCCTTATTGCCTTGCCAGTTGCAGTCCATAGGTCCCTGTCTTAGGTTGGCTGTACTCAATGCCAGAGGCTTTTTCCTCAGTAGAGTTTCTACTTTTTTGGCTTTTCCAGCTTCCTAGGGTCTTCATTGCACCTCATTTAACCTTTAGAATTTCATATATTACCCTCCTAGGGAAGTTCCCAGCTGGAACTCCAACTCTTATGACACATTGCATAACCTCCCAGGCCTTCCTTTGAAATCTGGGTAAAAACTTTCATGACCCCATTACTCTTGCAGTCTGCATGCTCAAAAAAACCCAGCTTTGTGTGGGTGACAACAGTGTCTTCTGCTAGTGGTAAGTATTCTCATCCTTTTGGACCACAGCTCCCGTGATTCTGTGTGTCCGCATGGATGAACATGGTATAATCGGTATCCAGGAACCAGTTCCCTAGCAAGAGTCTTCTCAAATGAAAGGTTTGCATTTTTGCACACTTGAGCCTGCAACAGGTGGGCTCTTGCTTGATTCCTGAGATGCACATGTGGGGATTTGGGGGGGTGATTGAATTATGTACTACTTAGTTACCAGTAAGTAAGTACACTGATGAATTTATAGTCTGAGTGGAAGAGTCAGGTCACTGAGGACAGGGCCTGAGATGGATTTTCAACCTCCCTGCCACCTCTCTTCACTCTCTGCTTCTTGTTTACCAGGCTAAGAGCAATTTTATTGCACGTAGGCCCTTTGACCATGCCATTCTGAAACCTTGGAGCCTGTCTAGTGTGGACTGAAACCTCTACAAACTGGGAGTCAAAAAAAACCTTTCCTTCTTTATGGGTATTTTGTTTTGTGTCTCAGTGACAAGAAGTACCTAAAACATCCCTGAAAGCATCTTAAACTAGCACAGAATATTTGGTTTCTTTGATATGGCACTGATTTCTTTAGCAACCATACCACTTTTGTCCCCTACTTTGCCTGGGCCAAACTGAAATTTTGTGTGTGTGTGTGTTTTGTTTTTTGCATTTTGCTCCTGATTCCCACTATAAATCTGACTAAAAGCAGCCAGAAGTACCCATGCAACAGCCTGAATGTTACACACTCTTGAAAAGTCTTCCAGCAGATGAATTATTCTTCCACCTTTAAAGTCAGTCTTCATTCAGAGGGCAAAATGGAGACAGGTTTTTGGATAGAATGTAACATGCATGACCTGTATTCCAGTTCTCAGTGGAGTCCACACTCCTATCTGAAACTTGAACTTGACCTTTGCTGGTTGCATTTTTATCAGTATTCTGAGCTGAGCTTAACTCACCCAGATCTAGTTACAGCATTTTAGGGCTTCTTTAGCCACATCTCAAAACCTTTCTGAATTCCTCAAAGCACATAGTTGGATAAAGTCACCTCAACAACCCCACTCCTGGTACTCGTTTTCTGTATCAGTCTGCTTTCTTTTTTTTTTTTTTGGTCTTTTTTCCTTTTTATCGGTACCGGGGATCAAACTCAAGACTGCTTGCTTGCAAGGCAGGCGCTTATGCCGCTGAGCTAAATCCCCAGCCCTAGTCTGCTTTCTTATTGCTAGGATAAAATACATGACACCTGCAACTTAAAGAATGAGTTTATTTTGGCTCACAGTGTCAGAGGTCATCTGGCTTCAAGGCAGGAATATGATGGTGTAAGGGCATGATAGAGTAAGCCTGCTCACTTTGTGGTGGTGGCTAGGAAACAGAGCACAGAGAAAGAGCTGCAGAGAGAAAGGGCTGCTCGGGGACCAATTATAGTCACCATGGCCATCCCAGAAGTGTGTTTTACTAATCGCCAAGCTAATTAAATTGAAAGTTAACTATCACAGTCACGGTTAGAAAAATGTGAACCCAGTGCAGTGGTATTCACGTGTAGTCACAGCTACAGGGGAGGGTTATACATGAGGATCACTTGAGCCCAACATGGGCAACATAGTGAGACTGCATCAAAAAAATACACATACAAAAATAAATTTTGATCTGAGAATATAGTTCAGTGGTAGAGTACTTGTGTAGTGTATGTGAGGCCCTGGGTTCACTCTGTGTTGGGCAAGGGATAATAGCCTCTGTCTATTGTTTTGTTTTGTTTTGCTTCTCATGTAACAGTAAATATATCATTCTAATAAAATCTGATTCTAAGAAAAAATATTCTGTATGTAATAAGTATGACTTCATTTGTTACACACTGTATGTGTGTATGTACGTGTATGTTAAAATCTAAAACCTTTACTTTCTCCTAAGCATTTTCTTAATTTTTTCTTGCCATATATATAAAACCTGGTTGTTTTGCCATGGCCCAGAAGCTCCTTTGTTATTTGGTGGTATTTGTCTACTTACACAATGTATTATGTCAACCCCTCTGTCCTCATTAAGCTATTAGCCCCACTGAACTTTAGTTTCCTGAACTTGCGCAACAGGTCCTTTACCACTGCTGTTTGCTCTGCTTAGAAACCACTTCCCTTACTGGGCATGACTACAAACACCTGTAATCCCACATAGTTGAGATGCTGAAGCACTAGGATCACAAGTTCACGGCCAGCCTGGCTAACATTGTGATACCCTCTCAAATAAAAAGATGCAGCTAAGCATCTCGTATGCCAAGCATGGGTGAGACCCTAAATTCTCTCCCCAGTACCACAAAAAGAAAAAACAGTTTCCTCAGATTTTTTATAACCTTCACATTCAGACTTCAGTCTATACATTATTTCTTCATAAAGGCAGTCTCTAATTGTAAGTAGTGCCTCTTTGCAGAACCTATTTCTTTCGTGGTACTTACTGTGAACCAAAGAATTTTTTTGTTATGTTTGTGATTTATTATATTTAAATTCATTTGGAAAATTGGTACATATATAAATCATTGTGATCATTTTAAATCCCTTTTCCTCTCCCTCACTACCCTCTCCAAAGTTTTTTGTTTTTTGTTTTCTTTGGGTTTTGTTTTGTTTTTGTATCTTTGCTGGGTAGAATATAAGGTCCTAAGGTCAAGGATCTCTGTTTTGTTTACTGTTCTATTACCAGCATCTTGCATATCAAAAGCTCAGTAATTAAGAGTTGAAAGAATGAAGTTATCTTGAACCTCTGATTACTATTAAATGTGTTTTTTATTTCTTTTATTTTGTTTTAATATATAGGATTTTGGAGATGGAGGTGCTTTTCCAGAGATCCATGTGGCCCAGTATCCACTGGATATGGGACGAAAGAAAAAAATGTCAAATGCATTGGCCATTCAGGTGGATCCTGAAGGAAAAATTAAATACGATGCAATTGCTCGACAAGGACAGTCAAAAGACAGGGTAATCCCTCAAATTTTTCTCTTCATTGATAATTTTGTGTGTGTGTATGGAAATGATTAATCTCTTGCCATTTAGGTTATGTTAAAAGTAACAGTGAAGTTAGGTATGTTGTTAAATTGTAGTGCACTGCTTAGCATGCATGAGGTCCTGGGTTCATTGCCAAACACAAAACAAAAGAGAAAGGGAACAAACAGGAAGGAGCAGTGAAGTGCACTAGGTTATCCAGCAGTGATGATTTGCCTTTTGAAGTTCTCCAATTAGTGATAGCCTTTATAGTTCAAAAACAATCTTAGTAACTTTCTAAAGTTGCTAACAGACTTCTAAAAGTCTATAATCCCCAGAATTCTAACAAATCGGCTTTTTATTTTCTTTTGAAACAGTCTTATTATGAAGTTCAGGCTGGTCTTAAAGTTGTGGCCTTCTTCCTGTTTAAGCCTCCCAAGTGCTGGAATTAAGGCATGCACCACCACACTTGGCCGAAACGAACTTTTTTTTTTAATTTTATTTTTTTTTAAATCTCTTCTATTTCCTCCATGTTTTTACAGGATACACGTTTTATTTTATTCATTTATCTTAAAATTTTATGTGATACAGAGGATTGAATCCAGGACCTTGCACATACTGAGCTCAAGCTGCACCACTGAGCTATATCCCAGCCTTTATTTTAATTATTTGGATATAATAAATTATACAGAGTTTTGGTTTTTTTTCTCTTTTACTCTCTCTTTCTCTTTTTTTCCCCACCTAGGTTAAGCACACAAGTAGCATTTTCCAGCCAGATTTTAAGATAGTCCTACTTACAAAGTAACCCAAAAACGAAAAATAAAATTTACTTAAAATAATCTCATTACAGAACATTTATACTCAGAACCAAGGAACTATTTATAAGAAGACCTAGTTTCTTCTTTTGTTTATTTCTTTGTAAGTAAATAGTTGGAATAAAAGTTAAAAGACTTCTTTAGAATTGATGAGGCTGGGAAAATCTTCAGAATCTTCAGTACCTATCCTTTGCCTCTCTCGCACCCAGACTTTTTCGTTTTACCCTGTAAAATAGCACTGGCAGCCCATCTGTTGGTACATCATGGCTGTGAGCTTTTGGGAAAAATGCAGTCATTCAGATTTTATGTCCTCTGAGCTCTACTGTCTTCATAGTCTTGTCAACCATAATTCCTACTCTTCTCTATCCTGTTTCATGCTGTACAGATGGCTTTCCCATATATTTCAATACTGTATAAACTTACTATAGTATGGCTTTACCTCAACCAGCTTCTAAAATGATTCTGGCAAAGGTTTTTGACCCTCTCTTTCCCCCCCCCCCCCCAAAGGATATTTTCTTTGACTAATACTTCCATGGCTTCATTTGTCACTTGGGTTGACTATTGAAACTGCATCGTTAGTCCAGTAGTTTGACTTGGGAGGTTTTGTTTGGTTTAGTTTTTGCTTTTTTGCTAGGATTAGGTGCTTAAACTATAAGGACAGATCTATCTAGATTTCCCTAAAATACGGCTTAATATTGCTTTAAAAACCTAAATGCATAATTTGTCACTTAATTTACCTGTTACATCATCTAACTCACTGAATACTTGTGATACCTTCCTAATTGCCTGTGCTAAAATCCTGTGGACCTGTTTTCCTTTATTTTATTGATGTTTCTAAAAAACTACACAAATATACCCTCATGGTAAAAAATAACCTATGGTACATAATTATATGTGGTCCTACCTGCTCTTTCTTACTTTGCTTGTCAGGAGTAACTACTTGTACTGGTGTATCTTTCCAGACTTTCATTGAGGATTTAGATATTTATCTATATGTATTGTCACTTTATATATGTGCATCCACTTACAGAATGTGTTGCATGAAAGATGGTTTTTTCATAAATGAAATTTTAATACTTTTTTACTTAGTATTTTAAAGATTTTTGTTAGTGCAGATAGGTCTGCTTCGTTTTTAAAAAATATGCAATTTGATGATACTGTACCTGAATTTTCTTTATTTTTGTAGTATTAGTGATTGAACTGAAGCACTTGTACGTGCTAGCAACTACTCTACCACTGAGCTGCATCCCAGCCTTTTTTTTTTTCCTATTTCTTTCTTTCCTTTTTTTAATCAAGTATTGAACTCAGGACCTTGCACTTGCCAAGCACTCGCCTATGCCACTGAGCTATGTTGCTAGCCATTTTTTTTATTTCTTTGTCTCTCTCTTTTTTTTTTTTTTTTTTTGAGATAAGTTCTCACTAAGTTGCCCAGGATGGGCTCAAAATTGTAATCTTTCAGAGAAGATGAAGTTATAGGTGTGTACAATTGTTTACAGACCTAAATTCTTTAAAACATTTCAGTTATTTTATTTTTGCAAACAATACTTTATTGAGGCTAGGTATGGTGGCACATGCCTGTAATCCTAGTAGTGAGGAGACTGAGGTAGGAGGAACAGCAAGTTCGAAGCCAGCCCAAGCTACATAGTGAGTTCAAGAAGAGCCTAAAATCCATGATGAGACTTAAAGAAAGAACTTTATTTAGGATTCCTAGGGCTGGGGATTTAGTTCAGTGGCTTAAGTGCCTGCCTGGTAAGTGCAAGGTCATGAGTTCAATCCCCAGCACCTCAAAAAAAAAAGGAGGGGGATTCATATATAAGTATACTTTTTGCACATTAATATTTATGTAAATTCAGAGGTATATATTTATTGAATCAAAGGATATTCAGGTTTTAGATGTGACACACTGCCAGTATGTTCTCCCTTTGCTTAGCAGTTCTGGTTCTTCTGTTTCCTCAGGCCTTCCATTTAGAAACCATACTCTTTATTTCCTGATACATCTCAAATATATTCCTTTCTGTACTACTTAGTTCAGACCCTTATCATTACCTGTTTGATTTACCGAAGCAGTCTGAGCCCTTCTCCTTGTCATTTGTCTTGCCTCCCCCAAAAAAGTTTTATCCATGTCTATCATTCTTTTTCCTCTACATGTACATACAGAAGCATGCACACGTAAAATCTTTCTATGATCTTTAGGATAAAGGCCAAATTCCTATGGCATGCTTGACCCCTTGTTTACCCTTCTGTTTATTTTTCAGTATAAAATAATTGTAGGTTATTGTAAAGAAGAAAAAACTTTCACATATCCTCTCTGCCTGCCATGAAGAACTACTTGCAATGCTGCTAATGGCACATTCTCTCTTATCTTAAAACTTGCAAGGAAATTCCACCTGTATCTGGAGAGCTCTACCTTTATTCTTTGACAGGATTCTGTTGCTTTCAAAGCTTATTCTTCACTATTCCAGAATGCTTCCCCTTTCCTGACTATATTGGAGACCTCCTCTCTACGTCCAAGTTCATTATAGTAGTCATTGCCTTTTGCTGTAATTATCTACACATGCATGATTTTTGTCATTTGACTATAATTTTTTTTGAGAGCAGGATAAAACCTTTTTTTAGTTCCTCTACAGTACTTTTGTGTCTGAAAGTTTGACACAGAGGCATTCACCAGTGTTTGTTGGGCAAATGATTGAAGTTTTCATTGTAGAAAAAGAAAACTGTTTCCTCTGAAGCCAGTAAGGAAGCATAATCCACTTCTGCAAAAAGAAAATTAGGTGCCTATATATGTAGGACATACACTGGAAATTTACCTTGCACCATGGAAGCCTTCACTTGACTCTGGCTGCTTTGTTTTGGTGCATCTCTCCATGTTAGGGAGGAATGTGCTTTCTTTACTGGATGTGCTACCTTCTATGTCCATTTGTTAGAAAAGCAAGCAACATTTTAGGGCAGTGATTTGGTATTGGCAGTTTGTGTTACTTTGAACAGCTGTAGCCCGTGTTGCATTGTATTTCAAGATAAGAAACCAAGAGTTTTGTCTGATTTATAATTGAATGACTAATTTTTTTCTTTCTGTTGCAACCATCTATCTGGTACAGTAGTTATTTTATATTGAAAATAGAAGTATACTCAACTATTTATTTACAACTCAACTATTTTTTATACAATATTTTGTCCAAATAAAGCCTTAAAATCTTGTTCTTTTGTACAGTAGAAGTTGTAGATGTTTAGTCTTAGATAACACTACCTCTAGAATTGAATGCAAATCTTGTAGTTTAAAGAAGTATCACTCAGGTTCATACCCAAAGTGGTGGGTGAATTGATGGTATTTTGGGATGCATTTAATAGTTTAACTTTAAATTACGTGCCATTGGTACTTCAGAGGATGACATTTCTTGATCAGAACTCTCCTGAGCATTGTACAGTGCTGACACCTATTCTTTGCCAGTGATGTCACCATTGTCTTAACCAGAAACACTTCTTCATCCATTTACTAAGGCTCCAGGAGGGGAACTAGAGGTGGCTATGATACCTTGTTTGAAAACAATTGATTTTCCTATTTTAGAAGAAATAGGAATTGACTATTTATTGTACAAAATGAAATTTTTAAAATTCAGTATCATTCAGAAGACTATACAGAGTTCTCAACAAAGATTAAAACAATTCAAAAGGATTTTTGAATTTGTACTGTAATGCAAATATTTCTGATTTATCTTAGAGGGATCTGAAATTCTTTAGAATTATTATCCTACTGACAATAATACTGAAAGAGCAAAAATGAAAATGCTAACATGGGTATAAAAGTGAGAAAAGTCAGGATTCTAAGAGGTAATAAGGCCATTGATCTGCATGTAAAGTAAGTATACATAAGACTTACTAGTGAAAAAAGAAAAAAAAAGACTTACTAGTAGTATAAAAGTAGGAAAAAGCAAGTTTCTCAGAATAAATCTTGATGGACTAAATGCTTTTCTTTAATCATCAACTTCATTGAACTATGCATTTTTTCTTGTAAAATAACTTTGATTAAAAATATTAAAGTGATATTACTTATAGCAATGCCTTTAATCTAGCCTCACAAAAAACCATCAACAGGTGTATATGGTTTCACAAACTAAATAAGCCTAAAGATGGTGTTTTTTGGCCAGGTGGCAATAGTGACATGCACCTGCAGTCCCAGCTACTTGTCACACTAAAGCAGAATTGCTTGAACCCACAAGTTCAAGACCAACCTGGTCAATGTAGGTAGACTATGTTTCAAAAATAAAGATGTTTTTTTCTATCAAATGTGGTAAATATATTGACAGGCTTATTTTTTTTTTTTTCAGTCAGTCCAATTCTTCACCAGTTTTCGGTAACAAGAAATTAGCTGTTTTTAGCTACGCATGGTAGCACGTGCCTGTAATTCTACTTGTGGGAAGCTGAAGCAGAAGATCACTGCAAGTTTGAGGCCAGCTTGAGCTACCTAGTGACTTTAAGGCTAATAAGACCCCATCTTCAAAAACAAAAACCGAGGCTGGGGATTTAGCCTAGTGGTATAAGCGCCTGCCTTGCAAGCAGGTAGTCGTGAGTTCGATCCCTGGTACCGATAAAAAAACGAAAAAGACAGAAAAAAAAACAAAAAAAACCCAAAACTTACCTGTTAATCGTAGGTGAGTTACTGCTTTATCTCATATGCAAAGCTCATTTATCGTCCTTCCTTCAATGGGATATTGTAGTTTTCAGGTGGCCTCTCCAACCCCAGTGCCTCGTAGGATGTATGGACTTTCTTCAGACATTTGGTTCTTAGGCCATAAAAATTGGGGGGTGTATAGTTAATTACCATGGAGCAATCTTGCTCTTCAGATGTCCTTCAGTCAGTCAGCCTTGTGAGATGCTAGAATCTTACCGATGTTCATTTGAAGGGTTATTAACTTCGGAATACCCAGATAAGAAGCAGCAAATGGCTCTTGTATGCTACAATAGTATTGAGACTATGTTGAACATATATGACTACCAGGGAGCCATTTACTTTAGAACTTCTTCCTATAATAATTGCTATATAAAAATGATTAAATAGTTTGGGTACTCTACAGTTTTGTTATATAATTTTCAGTTTGTGGTGATACCGATTTCTTCATCCTGAAAAGCAGTAAAGCTTTGAGGTCATTTTTAGTTATGTGATCTTAATGTACTGAGAGTCTCATTTTTCTCATTAAAGTGTGCTTTAGATTCCCTTCCTAGATGAACACTCTTAAGGACAGTGATAGTCATAGCTTAAGTATCAGTAGTACATCTTGGCTAAGGCTGCATTTTCTTACCTGATCCCTCTTCTCATTCCTTAACAAAACAGCCTCGAAATTTCAGTTTATAATTATGACTAGTTATTTTCTGGGAAATCAATATCTTTTATAGAATTTTCTGAGCCAGGCATGGTGATACATATCTGTAGTCTCTGCTACAGGGAAAGCTGAGGCAAAGGAATCCCTTGATCCCAGGAGTCTGGCGGCAACCTCTGCATAATGGTAAAGTTCCATCTCTTAAAAAAACAAAAAGAAAGAAAAGGAGAAGAAGAAGAAAAGTTCTGTAGGGCCTAACTTATAATAACCTATGCCATGTGATGGAGCATCTCTGAAATTCATTTATTCATTCATTTGTGCAAAAAAAATTGCCCGAATGTCTCTTATGGACCAGAAATTGTTACAGGCAGTGGCGATACTTTAATGAATATTCTCATCATAGTACAGTATAGCCGGAGATGGTGGTACATGTTTGTAATCCCACTACTCAGGAGGCTGAGACAGGAGGATGCTTGCAAGTTCAAGACCAGCAAGGGTTACAAAGTGAGCTCAAGGTCAGCCTGAGCTGCATAGCAAGATCTTGTCTCAAAAAGACCAAAACAAAAAGATAATATAGTATAATCATTTCATATCTCAAAGGTTGAATTAGTTTAAAACAAAAAGGGGAGAGCTATGATAAATGTTCAGTAAATGTTAGGTATTGTTAATAAGGGAGACAGTAAGCAAATTTTGTACTATGGATAGTGCTCTGAAGAGCATAAATATGCTGTGACTCAATGATTGAGTAAGAGGGGTTGCTACTTTAGTGGGGAGAGTCAGAAGGCCTCATCAATACAGCCCCTAGATCTGATTCACAAAGATTAAGAATGCATTTGAGGAGCTGGAAACAGCTCTCTATAAAGGTCCAGAATTGGGGGAGAGCATGGTTTACTCCAAGGAACAGAAAAAAAGCTCCTGCAACTGAAGCACGAATCGTGGAAAGAGAATTATAATGACACAAGACTGGAGATGTAGCTCAGCAAATTCAAGGTCCTGAGTTCAATTCTTGGTACCAAAAAAAAAAAAAAAAAGCAAGGTCCCTTTAAAAAGAGAGAATTGCTGTATAAGGACATACACACTGAAGCTACATGGGCAAACCCAGGTTAGGTCAAGAAAGCCATTAAAGTACCTTTTACTCCATTCATTGGAGTAGGAAATTAGAAATATTGTCATTTCTTTCAAACTGTTTTAAGGAATGTCTATGGTAGTATGTAATTTTTTAATGTAATTATTTATGTAGGATTTTCACTCAGTAGAAAACAGTTTTCTTGTATAGGAAATTTTTGAAGATCTCAAATAAGTAGGAATTTTTACTGTCATATTCTTAAGTTGTCCTTTCTTTGGATGTATCAAAGAATTTCTAACTTGAGCATTAAAATCTAGAAAGTATATTATTTGTTAAATTTCCTGTATCTGGTTTTTTTATTATTTAAAACCTGTCATGTAGGTTTTTATGAAACTATTTGAGAAGTGTAGATGTACTTGAGAATAAATAGTATTCTGTTTGTGAAGGGCCTGTCATTTTTCAGTGTCAACCAAAAAGAAATAATGTCAAGCCTACAAAACTTGTATAGCAGCCCTAAGTTTGTACATAAAGTTACATAGAGAGAATGTTCGGTTTTTTCTTTTTCTTTTTGCCTTCTCATGAACAGACTGGAATTGTTTTCACTGTGGCACATGTTCATTTTCATAGTCTCTGAGTAGAATTGATGCCAAAAAAAGAAACATTATAAATAAGATGAGGTCAATGAAATTTTCTAGGCCCAGTGAATTTGAAAATTATTTGATAACCTGACTTAAATTCTGTTGAGTTTTTAATTCAAGATAACGGTGCTAAAGGCAGTTTTATATCATCATTAATTTCAAATCCTAGTGTGCCTCAAAAATACAGATCACTGATGCATAAGATTTTGTTGGCACAATTTATTTGGATACTTACTTGATTAAAAGCTTTCAAATAATTTAAATGCCTGGGGTTCAGGGAAAATTATTAACTTATAGTTAGGGTAGCAATTTGTGCCTATATTTTAAGCTCCTTTAGTTTTAAAAGCCAAAATACTAAACTGAGTGTCCTAAATTTATATGTATGCTGAGAGGACATGTTGACATCTAAAATAACTTAATGAGGTTGCTTCTTCTCATTCTATGCTTTCCTTAAGCCTGCTTGTGTTTGAACATTTTAGGTCATTTATAGTAAATACACTGACCTGGTTCCAAAGGAGGTTATGAATGCTGATGATCCAGATCTTCAGAGACCCGATGAAGAAGCTATTAAAGAGGTAACTGGGAATTAACATGTATTATTTTAGATGACTTTTTATGTTCTTATTTACTTCTAAATCACTCACTGCTGTATGTCTTATTTCAGATTACAGAAAAGACAAGGGTAGCCTTGGAGAAATCTGTATCACAGAAGGTTGCTGCAGCCATGCCAGTACGAGCAGCTGATAAACTGGCTCCTGCTCAATATATCCGGTATGAATCAGGCCTGGAAGTGTTCGTTTCATTTCAGACTTAACTTGGGTTGAAGGTTCTGGTATTCTTTCATGGTTCCAGATAGTTACAGTTATAAACACATTGTTGTGAATAATGATTTGAAGCCTCTTGACTCTTTTTGTGGACAAGTGAAAGCATAGTGTTTTAAGATACCACTTTAAGAGGCTGGGGATTTAGCTCAACAGCACAAATGCCTGCCTAGCAAGCATGAGGTCACAAGTTTGATCCCCTGATCCCCGGTACCAAAAAAGAAAAAAATGATGCCACTTTAAGATATTAGTTGAATGCTTTTTCCAAAGTATTTTTGTCCTTAAAAATTAACAGTAGTGCAAGGGATTTAGCTTAGTGGCATAAGTGCCTGCCTGGCAAGAGTGAAGTTGTGAGTTCAATCCCAGGTACCAAAATAAAAAAAAATTAACCCAGTAGATGATTCAAGCTGTAATTGTTATTTATAGTTTGGTACTTATATTAATAACCATCCTTATAATACTTAGAAATTTTGAAGAGTTTCACTTTGATTAAATCTTGGAGGGGCAATTTACATATAGATGCTAAGAGGAAACTCAGAGTTGGTAGGGCTACTGCCAGTTTTCTTTCTGTGTTTCACAACCTATGATTAACCCAAAACTGCTAATTGTAAGTTGCTTGCTGCTATTATTGTGCATGTTTTTTTTCTCAAATGCAGACTTACAAACTAGGTACTCTTTCCTAGGCCTCTTCTCTGAGAAATTGAACAATCATACCTTCCATGCTGGTAAATGGATGAGGATAGATTATTTACAGACTAACCACTCTAATTTGCATTGTGTTTGCATCTCATAATTCCTGTTAGTTCTCTTACCTCTAGGCTGACTGCTCTATCTAAATATTTTGTAATTTTCTATTTATACTTTGAAAGGAATTAAAAATGTGATTTTCAAAGGGAAAATATCTACGGAGAGGTTGAATTACCTGTTTTCATCTGCTTTCTTCAGATACACACCATCCCAGCAGGGCGTAGCTTTCAACTCTGGAGCTAAACAGAGGGTTATTCGAATGGTAGAAATGCAGAAGGATCCAATGGAGCCTCCAAGGTTCAAGTAAGTTGATAGTTTTCATGAGAATTAACTCCTTTTCTTAAAAAAGATATTAAAGGGAAAAAGTGTCCCACATGTCTGTTATCATGTGAACGGATAGGCAAACTTAGTACATTGGTTCATGGAAAAATAATGAGCAGCATAAAGGAATTAACTATTAATAGCATGGGTGAATCTCAGAATAATTGTGGTGAATGAAAAAAACCAGGCAAAACCAAGTACATATAGTACAGTTCCATTTGTGTAAAATTCTAGAAAGTGAAAACTAATGTAAAGTAGTAAAAGATGGATCAGTGGTTACCTGTGAGAAAGTAGGGACAGAGAATGAAGAGACAAAAGGAAGAGGCAATGGACATGTAGAAACTCTTGTGGGTGTCAGATGTGTTCACTACCTTAATTGTGAGGGGCCTTGTATGCAAGTATGCAACTGTATGTCGATTATATCTCAATAAGGTGTAAGTATATTGCTCTGAGCAGTGATATCATGGCAGTAGAGTAATGATGACAGGATTTGAGTGTTTTGTTGTTGAAGCCAAGTGTTAGGTGTATGATGAGCATTCATTATAGTCTCTGTTTTCCTCTGTTGAAAGCTTTTCAAAACAGTGAGAAATGGGGGTGATATAATAAAGGGAGAAATATATATCATTCTCTGACTATACTTTGATTTTTCTTTCAGGATTAATAAGAAAATTCCACGGGGACCACCTTCTCCTCCCGCACCTGTTATGCATTCTCCCAGTCGGAAGGTATTCTTTGCTATAATCCAACTCCCTTTAAATGTATGATTATTAATTTTATAAATAACCTGCCTATGTCTCTATAGGTAAGTATCACCACACAGATTTCAGTGTTCTTGTAAAAACTGTCTAAAATTGTTTCTCAATACCAAATAAGGACCCAGTCAAAACTACAAAGTATTATAGTTTCTAGAGTGTTTATGGGATGGGAAAGTGTAAAAATATTTATAGTTTCTAAATTGTTTATGGGAATGTGTGTGAAACATTAGCTCTTAGTTTTATTAGTAACTTAGATTCTCCTTGTATCGGAATGAGCAGGATCTGTTTCATGCAAAGGATGCCATACATATAGGAAATGTAGACATGAATTTACTTGGTCTCTGGTTAATATTTTAAGTGTCTTTTTAAAGTATTTTTTTAATTCTCGAAAGAAAAGTTTTCATCTGAAAGTGTAGGAAAATATTAGCATTTATAAAAATGTCTAATATAACTTCTGAGATTCTTTTTTATTTTTTACTTGTTATTACAAGAGTCCATAGTATAGGAACACAATAGTGCTACAGAAATTTTAGACTGAAAAAGTATGCCCGTGTGTCAGTGTGCACGGAGCCATCTTTGAGTTGTAAAGATTATACTTGGATTTTTAGGTAAACTATATAAATCTAAAAATGTTTCTTTTCTCAATTTAGATGACTGTAAAGGAACAACAAGAATGGAAGATCCCTCCTTGTATTTCCAACTGGAAAAATGCAAAGGTAATTAAGTTGTCATAAAATTAGTCATGTAGTATATAGTGTACTGGAAAACACTCAGGAGTTATAGATTACATAGTTTTAGTTGAAACTTTAGTGCCAAATGTAGCTGAATGTTTTCAAAATGGAGTATCACAGTAAAGGTGTAGATCAGGGTCTACATAAGAGTACATGTTTAGTGTGTATGAGGCGCTGACCCTGGGTTTGTTCTTTGGCATACCACAAAAAATAACAATAATAAAAAAAACAATAATAGTGATAATTTATGTGATTTATTTTTTTATTTTTTGGTATAGAGAATTGAACTCACAACCGTGTATTTGCCAGGCAGACACTTTGCCCCTGAGCTATATTCCCAGCCCCTATGTGACTTTTAAAAACATGTAATAGAAATGTTAGTATACTATGTACATAAATACCATGTCAATTCAGTTAGTGCATTATAGCTGTCAGAAACACATAAGAAAGAAATAGAAAAAAAGTACCATACTAATTCAAGGTTATATTCTCTAGAAAGCTCAAATTTGTATCTAAAATTTATTTCTGAAAGAAATTAAACCAATCTAACAGCATGAGAAAGTAACAATAAATGTTTGGATATTTTCAGTGCTTTGATTTTCTTTCTTTTTTTTTCCTGGAGTCAGTCTTGCTATATAGTTTGGGCTGACCTTGGGCTCACTCTGTAGCTCAGGCTAGCCACAAAATTACACGATCCTCCTCATGCCGGCCTCCTGAGTGCTGGAGTTATAGGCATGCACCACCACCCCTTACTTTAGTACTTTAATTTTCAGCTATTTATCTGTGATTCTAACATTGCAGGCTTAACCTATATAAATCCTGCATATCCTCTTCTAAATACTAAAGCTTCTAGAAGTCAGTAAGAATTCAATTATAAAACATGAGATAGATTTCCTTTTCTTATAGTCTGTATTCCATGAGTCAATTTTTGATGAGTGAAGGTGTCTACAACCATGGGTTAAGTATAATTTGTCCTTTCAGTGAATTGATATACTCACCCTACAACAAAAGTGGCTTACTGGTTTGTTTTAGCTTGAGTAGTAACTATATGACATCTTGTGCTGATTCTGTATCACTTTATTAGGAAACCATGAAGTAGAGGTCATTGTTTGGGAGTCAGGAATCTGGAAAAATAAAGTTAAGCCTGAAAAGTACATGAATGTCCAAGCACATTCCTTGATTTATTGAAATGAGATGAAAAACTTCAGAATATAGAATGTGATTATCTGGAGAGCTTTGACCACCTATGAAAACAAGAAAGAATCTAACAATAAGATAATATAGCAGATTTAAATTACCTAAAAACTGAGATTGTAAGTGCTAACCTTTGTGCTACTTTTGTTTGATTTATTTGTACTCCAGGAGTAACAATTTGGCTGTTTGACATACTTGCCTTTTTATTGTAATCTACAATTATTATTAGCAAGATCTGTTTTTCCAGAGCTTGGGTTTAGAAGTCATATTGTCACCAGGGATTTAGCTGAGTTGCTTAAGAGACGGCCTGGCAAACCCCAGATCATGAATTCAATCCCAGGTTTAAAAAAAAAAAAAATCATATTCTCTGAGTTTAAATCCTAATTCATACACTTATTAGCTATTTAACATTAGGGACATTACCCAAGCTCTCTGCCTCACTGTCTTTATCTGTGAGATGGAAACTATAATGTTACCAGTTTTACAGAGTTCTTGTTACTATTAAGTAGGATCACACATGGAAAGTGCTTAATCTGCCATACAGAATAGTCACTGTTAGTTGCTGCTGGTATGCATAATTTTGAAGCAAGTTTAAATTAGCTAAGAGCTCAAAATGTACATATTTTGATTGAATTTTAAATGATAATAATTATCTGTCACTGCTTTTTGCTCACTGTTTTCACCCTAGGGTTATACAATTCCATTAGACAAACGTCTAGCTGCTGATGGAAGAGGGCTTCAGACAGTACATATAAATGAAAATTTTGCCAAATTGGCAGAAGCTCTCTACATTGCTGATCGGAAGGTTGGTCTGTTACAATTGTTTTAATGTTCTGGTGATCTATAAACTAGTTTACCTAAGGTAGTGTTAATTTAGTTATAGGACTAAGTATTGAGGGAAACTAACCTGTGATATTTGTCAAAGATAGTGCTAATTCCAACTGTGTGCATGATTTTGACTTTTGTATACCTAGACACACACCCTCGCACACCATGGTGATCCATTTCCCTTGTAACATGTCAGAATAATAGTTCCCCTAAACTGGTCCAATTTTGTGAAGATTGGCAGGTGCTGTTCTACACTTTGTAATGCCCTCCCTTTTGTTATAGACGTTTTCCTATAAGGAAATTGCAAGGAAAAGTTAGTAAACATTTTGATTAATCAAATTCTGCATAAAATGACTAATAACTGTATTAAATATTGTATTAGTATATGCCCTTCAAGTTTATATGACATGGCATATATTTAGAACATAGAAAAGTGTATTTTATCACAGTGAGTCCTGTTATAAAAAATTATCTTTAAAAAGAAATTATCGGGGCTGGGGATTTAGCTCAGCGGCATAAGCGCCTGCCTTGCAAGCAGGCAGTCGTGAGTTCGATCCCTGGTACTGATAAAAACGAAAAAGACAAAAAAAAAAAAAAGCAATTATCTTCATCAGCTAAGATGTGTTTTGTTTTTGTTTTTGTTTTTTGTTTTTTGGAGACAGAGTTTTGCTTTGTAAGTTCAGGCTAGCTTTAAATTCACTGTGTAGCCCAGGTTCATCTTGAACTCACAGCAATTCTGCATTAGTCTCCCAAGTGTTGGGAATACACGTGTGCACACCACACCTGGCTAAGGTTTATCTTGAAATGGAGTCTTGTTTGATTATTTTTTTCTATAGATGGAGGTTCTGTAGCAGACAGGTCTCAAACTCCTGGGTTCATGGTTTTCTGCCTTCACTTTCTAAATGCTAAAACTATAGGCACACAGCATTGTAGTCATCTAATTTTTTTATTTTTAGACTCCTTCTACAAAAGAATTAGTGATACTGACTTGAAGTTTGATTAGGGTCACTATAGTTTCAGCTATTAAAACATTCTCCAGAATGAAAAATTACCTTCCAAAGTCTTCTCAGCAGGATATTGTGTCATTTTAATCAACAATAACAAATATGAATTCTCTTTAGTTGCTCTTACAAGCCAGACTTCATTTGGGAGTTTAGATGATAGGTGTAAATATATTTATCCCATGACAGTGTCTCACTAACATCTGACTTCACTAACAGGCTCGTGAGGCTGTGGAAATGCGTGCCCAGGTGGAGAGGAAGATGGCTCAAAAAGAAAAGGAAAAACATGAAGAGAAACTTAGAGAAATGGCACAAAAAGCTCGGGAGAGAAGAGCTGGTATCAAAACCCATGTGGAAAAAGGTATGGCATTTTCATTGTGGAATTTACTTTGAACAATATGTATCTTACTTTAGAAAAATCTGTGTTTTAGATTTTGTTTGCTAAGTGTACACAAAAGTAGTTAAGTATATAATAAAAAGGAAACTTTTTTTTTTTTTTTTTTTTTTTTTTTTTTTGGTGCTGGGGTCAAACTCATAACCTTGCATTTGCCAGACAGGTGTTTGTGCTGCTGAGCTAAAGCCCTGGCCCAAAAAGAAAACTTTTAAATACTTCAGAACTAGTGTAGAAATGGAAAGTAACCTCTACTAAGCCAAAACAATAGAAAATAAAAGGTAGACCTCTAATATTTTACTGTACTAGAAATTTTTACCATTCTGAGCAATATTGTACACAGTTGACCCTATGTATCCCCAGGACCCATATCCACAAATTGAACCAACCGTAGATTCAAAAATATTTGGGAACAATATATCTGTATCTAAAACATACAGGTTTTTTTCCCCTATCATTATCCTAAATAATAGAATATATCAACTGTTCAGATAGCATTTAGATTGTATTAGGTATTATGGGTTATAAGTATATATATAAGAGGTTTGTAAATGATATGCAAATATTACTCCATTTTATATAAAGGACTAGCACATGCATGGATTCAGATATCCTTATTTGGGGCTTCCTGGAACTATTCCTCACTGAATAACAAAGGGCAACTATACTTTAAAATTAATCATGTTATTCAAGCCAGGTGTGGTGGCAGATGGCTGTTATCTCAGCACTTGAGAGGCTGGGGTAGGAGGATCACTGTGTAGGTCAAGGTCATATTGTTATTATGATACTGTTGATATTGATACTGCTTGATACTGTTGGCCTTGAACTGACTGTGTAGCCCAGTGTGGCCTTGAAATTGCAGTGACCCTCCTGCTTCAATCTCCTGAGTGCTGAGATTTATAGGCTGAGATTATAGGCCACACCTGGCTAAATTTGTTGTTGTTTAGTCGCTTTGAAATTTAGAAAGAAAAATGAGATCTTCAACTGAGTAAGTCAACTTGTCATAGGATAATTCAGAGATTTTCCAGTCTTACAAGTTAATGTTTTTTCTAATCATTAAAACTGACAGTATTCTTTTCTTTGGCTTTATTCAGTGGTATATCTTGATGAATTAATTGTTTAAGAATGAAATAAGTTGTGGTATTCACAAAAATGTATGAGGATGTTTTTTGTTTCATAAAACATAATAAAATCAGTCATTCTTTTGTTCAGTTAATATTAAGTAACTACTATCTGCAATATTAAGTAACTACTATCTATTGGTTGATTAGTTGGATGGTTTTGAGATGGGTAAACTGCCAGTCTGGCCTTGAACTCACAATCCTTCTGACTTCAGCCTCCCTAGTAGTTAGGATTAAAGACCCACTCCATTACACCCAGCTTAAGATTCTTTTCTAGGCAGATTTTCTGCTAGACTTAGGGTAGAGATGGAATGCAGACAGACGAAAATACTCTTGCATGATGCAGTAAAAGTAATAATTACTGTGGAGAAAAATAAAACAGTGAAAGAGGGCATAAAAATGTCAGGAAAGGGTCTTTAGAATAGCTCTCACCTCTGAGCTAATGAATGCCAAAACTTGGAAATCTGGCAAAAGTACATTGCAGACTGCAAGATAAACAGATACAAAGGCCCTGAGTTGAGAATAGGCCTGGTGTGCTCAAGGAAGTACAAGGAGACCAGAATGGCTGGATTGTACTGAAGGAGCATAGAAGTCAAAGATTTGTTAGAGTACTTAGGATAGGTGGGAAGAATAGTGGCTGCCATTTTATTTCAAATGACAAAGGATTTTGAACAATGACATTTGCAACTTTACTGCAGTATAATTGAGAAATTAATAGTATATATTTAAATTACTCGGTATAAGGGTGGTTTCTGTTTTGGTTTGGTTTGGGTGGCAGAGTTTTGAGATTTTTGCTTGTTGTTTTTTATTTTGTAACAAAGTTTTGCTATGTTGCCCAGGGTAGCCTCAAACTCTTAGTTTCAAGAAACCCACCTGCTTCAGCCATCCAAGTAGCTAGACTGTAGGTGGACTTTGTGGTATGTCCAGGAGTGTTTTGTTTTGATACTAAGAGATCAAATCCAAGACCTTCTCACTGGAGGACTGTGGAATGTACGTGGGCACAAGTAAAGAAATTGCATTCCCATTCTTTTTTTAAAATCATGAGACATGGTCTAAGTTGTTAAGTTGCCCGTACTGGGATTTGAACTTGCTACCCTTTTGTCTTAGCTTTCCAAAGTGCTAGGATTACAGGGATGTACCATCATGCCTGAATGACAACGTTTTTATTTCACTTTGTGTTGCTAAGGATATGTGAAACATACACTGTTGCATTTAGCTGTAACCCCTACCCAGGATGATTTTCAAATATACTTGTACATCATGAAATGTGTACAACTGCCAAGCTAATTATAGTCACTTTTAAATTAAGAGATTAAGATTCTCAGCAAATTTCATTTCTGTAATGTAGTATTATAAACTATGGTCACCATACATTACATTGTATCTTCGGAACTTGGTCTTCCTACATCAATAAAACTTTGTACCATTTAACCAACATTTTCTCTGACATATATTTTTAAGATAATAGTGTGGTCACTGTGTTAAAAATAGAAGACTGAAATGGACATAGGCAGAAGTAGTGAAATTATTGTAAGCCTCTTGTAATAAACCTGATGAGAGATGAGAACATGAGGTAGTGAAAATGTGATCAATGTTGGATGTAAAGCTAACAAAAGCTGCTTAAGGATTAGGATAGGAGTGTGAGAAAAGTAGGTGTCAGAGATCATTCCAGAATTTTTGACCAAAGCAACTGGGGAACATTAAATTGTCATTTACTAATAATTGAAAACACTGCAAGGCAAACAGGTTTGGGAGGGAAAGATTAGTTCAGTTGAATACATGTTAAGTTTAGGATGCAGTTGTTAAGCAGGTACTAGGTTATAGAGTTCAACTAAATAGAACTAATCAAGGCCATATTTAGTGATCTACTTCCTGAATCACATATAAATGACATGAGACAAGATGTAATACCTGTTGTACACCCAATCTAAATACACCCTGAACATATTTAGAAGTAAACTTCAGAGGCTACAGATGTAGCTCATGGTGGCATTTATCCACCATGCACAAGTCCTTGGGTTCCATCCTCAACACCACATTAAAAAGTGAAATAAAATTAAAAATGCAGTGCCTTAGTTCTCTAAACTTGATAAGGAAACTATCAAAAATGGAAGCAAAGCTTTTGTAAATGGGAGAGGAAAATAGTGGTAGAAGGAAGATCAGGAGAATGGGGGAAAAAAGAGTCAAGTTATATCACGTGCGGATACAAATTCTCTATAAAGAAAATGATTATTATGTATATCTAAAATGTACCAATAAAATCTGATTTTTAAAATGTATCCAAAAAAAGCCCAGAGTGGTTCTTGAAAAATTAAAATTTTTGAAAAATCTGTTGCTAGATATTAATAAAAGCTAGTATTTACTGAGTACTTGATATAGTACACATAACTCAGTATTTCACATTACCTCACATTATCATTACATCACTTTGTGCAGTGGCATTATTACTGTCACTGCTTTACAGAGGAGAAAACTAAGAGTCACAGTGGTTAGGAAACTTGTACAAGGTCACATTGCTAATTTGTTATGAAAGAGGAGGATTAAATCCAGACAGGCTAGCTTATACTAACTAACAAGCCTACAGCCTGGTGAGGGTAGAAAAGATGAAGATAGACATAAATACAATTGAAATCAAGATACAGCCAGCCCCTATAGGCCACAAGCAAAAGATTCTTTATTGAGTAGAATCTCTTGAAATACAAAGGGAACCTTGTGTGGAATTCTTTTTTCTTTACATGTTATGAAAATTGCAAACACAAAAAAATGGAAAGCTTTGTAGTGAACACCATTATTCCCTAACAGGATTTTAGTTAATTTTTCAAAACAGTTGGCAAGACAAATTTGCTCATCACATGTCTACCTATCTTTGTATCCATCTGTCATTCCAGCTTACTACTTTGATGCATTTCAGAATTGAAGACAGCGGTACTGTTATTCAGTTGTATGTGTGATTCTAGAATTCACATTAAAAATTTTAACTAATACTATAATGGATTTAAATTAATTGCAAATACGATTTAAAAGACTGACTATGACTGCAAAGAAATACCTAAAATTTTCTGTATTAAGGTTAAACAATATTCTCTTGTTCAAAATATTAATCAATAACACAGTGATGAAATAAGTTTAAACTGTGTCCACACAGAGGATGGGGAAGCACGTGAGAGAGATGAAATCCGACATGATAGACGAAAAGAGAGACAACATGACAGAAATCTTTCCAGGGCAGCTCCAGATAAGAGGTAAATACTATAAATACAAATTAAGAAGAATAGCCTTTTTGTATTTTTTAGAGCTAAGTTTTGATCCACTAAGATCAGGTTTGCTTTTTCTCTTTGCTTTTTTAGTATGATAACTTAATAAATTGCCCTTCATTTTCTTATACTTAATTACTTTCTCTTAGCAGAATTGACTATCCCTAGAAGTAATCTTCTCTTCCCTCAAAGTCAGGTCAGATAGAATTGAGAAAGAGGAGGCCATAGAATTGGTAATTCAGATCATATTTGTGATAAGGAAATAATGAATGAGACTATCTATTTTCGTACTTGAAATCATGAGACAAATTGAATTTGTGCCTACACCACTACACAGGAAATCTCATGCCTTTATCAACAACATCCTTTCGTATGTATTTATCTCCAGAGTACAATGCTTGATGCAGTGTAGGAAAAGAGCATGATTTCTTTGTTTTGTTTTGTATGGGGGATCGAACTCACAACCTCGTGCTCACTAGGCAGATGCTTATGCTGCTGAGCTAAATCCCCAGCCCAAAGAGCAGGTTTTGAAGTAAAAGTGTTCCTTTATATGAGCAGCTTAACTTACAATATAGAAAGACAGAACTATTATGTGAAATACTTTGAAAAAATTTATAAGGCATTCAAGTACAAAATGGTGTAAAACAAACTAAACACATATATTGAGAACATAAGGTAGGAATTAGAGACATCTGTAGTTTACTCATGTCAGAGGTCTGCAGTCACTAGGAAATTGAGGAAATGCTAAATACATAATTGGGATATTCACAGAGTGTTACATGTAAACATGAAATACATTCTTTTCAAATCAAGTTTTCCCATGCTCTGATCATGTTTGGAGCTGACATCTATTTTCTCAAGTCATATCTTAAATGGCATATTTCATTTCACTGAATAAGTATAGTCATGGGGAAGCAGTAAATCATAATTCAGAGTTGTGGGTAAATCATTGTAGAAGAAAGAAAGAGAAATGAAACATGAAGTATTCAGTTATGGTGCTCTTGATTGGATCATACTAAATTGTAAAAATCAAAATGGTTATGTAGATATATTAGGTCCTTAAAAACCAGTTAAGTTACTGTGAGAATTGGTAACACATAAAAGTTTTAAACTTGATTTTGGGTGAAATCAGATTGTCTATGGAAACTATTTGAAAACCTGCACCTCTAGTTAAATAAGTAATGACAGTTGCTATCATTTCATTTGGATCTGTAATACATACGTATCAAAAAAGCAAAGGACTTAAATTAGAGTGTGAGCTAGTAGAAAGTTTTTGTTTTGTTTTATCTTTTTGAGACAGGGTCTCGCTATGCAGTTCAGGCTCGCCTTGGGCTCACTCTGTAGGTCAGGATGGTCTCGAGTTTGCAAATGATTCTCCTGCCTCAGCCTTCCAGGTGCTGGGATTACAGGAGTGTGCCACCACACCCAGCTTAGTAGAAAATTCTTATTGTGAATCCTGTATCCTCTAATCATGTATCTTTTTTTAATCTCATTTTTAAAAAATGTGTTTTTTTTGTCCCAGGAATCAAACTCAGGCATGTGCTTGTGCCACTGAACTGCATCTCCAATCTTCATTTTAAAATTTTTATCAGTACATGTTGCAGCACATAATGGTTACATTTGTCGTGAGGAGTTGGTACACATACAAATATCTTTTTATTTCCCATTGCCTCTCCTCATTTCCCCCAGTCATGTATCTGAAATGCTGTAAAGGCTGCCAACCTGATGATACATTGTCTAGGAATATATGTTGACAAGACATATTCATTTCCTTTGCTTCCAAGATTGGTTGTATTTAAATTGAATGTTTAGCTTGTCTGCAGACATGTCCAATTAATGATAACATACTCCAAATAGGTCAAAACTGCAGAGAAATGAAAATCGAGATATCAGTGAAGTCATTGCTCTTGGTGTGCCCAATCCTCGGACTTCTAATGAAGTTCAGTACGACCAACGGCTCTTCAACCAATCCAAGGTAAAGAAGTCTAGGAACTGCCTGTCTTGTGTCTTGATATGAATACCTATCCTCAGAGAAAAGAAAACAGATTTGAATCAGCTTAACAGCTAGTATGATACGGGGAAAAATGGAAGTTGTGTGTTATTACTTAAAAGACAAGATGAAACACTTCTGATTATAACCTCTTAGAGTTGGCTATAATTTGAAGCACTGGTAGAAGACAAAAGAATGCAGGTAATAAAACATGATTCTGGTATGTCTGTCTACTTTCTGTTTCTAAAATACAGCCTACTAAAAAAATAACCACTGTTGGGTTATTTTGGTGGTAGTTGTCTGTGTGTGTGTGTTTGTTTTTGTTTTTGTTTTGTAGTACTGGGTATTCAATCCAGAGTCTTTGTACTGAGTTACATACCCATACCTTTTTATTTTTCACTTTGAGACCAGGTCTTACTAAATTGTTGTCCAGGCTGGACTGGAACTTGGGATCCTCTTACCTCAACTTCCCAAAGTGCTAAGATTGTAAGGATGTACTATCATACTTGGCTGGATGGTTTTTTAATGTCAGAGACATGTCAACTTGAAATCTTTTAAAAAATGAAGCCTTAAAGTTAAATACCAGACTGTTTGTCAGAAAATCTGATTTCTTGGGGCTAGGAATTTAGCTCAGTTGCACAGTGCCTGCCTGACAATTGTGAGATCCCAAATTTGATCCCTAGTATCCACACGCACACAAAGAAAAAGAAAATTGATTTCTAGTGCTGGTTGTCATTAACCAACTGGAACACATTTCATAAACCCTAATGTTTATTACGTATAAGGAAGTAGATAAAAGGTGGATCCAGGGTAAGGAATATAGAAGAGTCAATTCTACAGGGCTATGGGAGGGAAAAATTAATTAACTTGGAGGCTTTTGAAAGATTTGAATGTATAATTTTAATATGTTCCTCTGAGAAATTTATTGAATGTTTTTTTATATTCCTGGTGCTCTAAATCTTTTACTTGTATTATCTCAGGCCTTAAAAAGATAAAATATATGTAGTCCAAATGGTATGGATAAGAAAAATGAGATTTGTAATTGATGCAGTCATGATTCCAACTTGAATGATTTGATTTCAGTGATGGTTTATCTGCTTTAACAAATCAAGTTAGGGATGAAAGTTCCATATTAGTAAATAACTTACACCTGTTAGAAACTTAGAGCATTTAGAAATTATATCTTAGTCACTTTCCTATTGCTTAAACTATCCAATACCCAAAATATACAAGAAAGGTTTGTTTTGGCTCATGGTTTTAGTCCATGGTCAGCTGGTCCAAGATGAAAGAAACAAGATGGCAGAGGGGCATGGCAGAAGAAAAAGTGCTTAACACATGGCGGGCAGGAAGCAGAGAGAAGCGAAGCCAGGGAAAGAAAAAATGTCCTTCTAGGTCCATGCCCCCAGTGACTGCCTGCCACATCTCAGGCTCTGTCTCCAAAATATCAGGATAGCTGTGGCTTGATTAACGCATTAAGCTGCTGCTGAGTGTAGCACGTCCATGATCCAATAAACTTCTGTACATTACATGTTACTTTCTTGTCACTGAGGCTCCATATGTGACACAACTATGGAGGAAAAATTTATTTCTGTTCGTAGAGGTTTCAGTTCATAGTAAACTGGCTCCAAGGTAAGGCGGCATAGCAGAGGAACACGGCAAAGGAAAATTGCTCATGGTGTGGCAGGTTGGAAGCAGAGCAATCAGGAGAAAGGTATACCCTCCCAAGCTGTGGCCCACCTCTTCCCATCATGTGTAGCTCGAAACTCATCAATGGCCCCACCTATGAGAGCATGAGGCTCTGAAGGGACATTTAGATGTAAAGTATTACAGGAGACTTTTGTGGACATTTTTTACCTAAATATAGAATGTTTAATATTTTCATTGTGAGCCTTATTACTATAATAGTGATATTCTTAGGCAGTTAAGGGATATAACTTTGTTTTACAGTAAATGGAACAAATTTTTTGCCATTCTTGGATTTTCTTGCTGTGTCCACAAAAATTTAAATTGTCAGAAATCTGCTTACAGTAGATCCTTCAATTTTAATGATTACTTTGAAAGTACTCAAATTTGTTAATAACTTATTTGATTCTAATTACACATGATGCTGGGAAGAGGTGAGTACTGGGGCCATAGCTTGAGAGGGTATACCTTTTCTCCTGATTGCTCTGCTTCCAACCTGCCACACCATGAAGCCAAACATGAAACTTACATTTGATCAATTTTTAATGACCTTCCTAAAATTTGTAGTTCAGTTTTTGAAAATGTGAACTGTATTATAAATCAGCAAGTATATATCCTTCATGTGAAGAATTAGCTTCAGCTTTTAATAATCCATAGATTTCTTATTTCATGTCATTCATTTTTCCACAGGGTATGGACAGTGGATTTGCAGGTGGAGAAGATGAAATTTACAATGTTTATGATCAAGCCTGGAGAGGTGGTAAAGATATGGCCCAAAGTATTTATAGGCCCAGTAAAAATCTGGACAAGGACATGTATGGTGATGACCTAGAAGCCAGAATAAAGACCAACAGGTACCAAGACAAGACAGTTCAGTTTCATTATTTATACAATAGAACAAAACTATTTCATAGTCCTTTTTCTTGTTCCCTAGATTTGTTCCTGACAAGGAATTTTCTGGTTCTGACCGCAAGAGAGGCCGAGAAGGACCTGTTCAGTTTGAAGAAGATCCTTTTGGTCTGGACAAGTTTTTGGAAGAAGCCAAACAGCATGGTGGCTCTAAAAGACCCTCAGATAGCAGCCGCCCCAAGGAACATGAGCATGAAGGCAAGAAGAGGAGGAAAGAATAAATCCAGCAGTCTTCAAAGTGAACGAACTATATTATCCATTACCCTAATGATGCAAGTCATGGGGGGACTCTTTGTAAATGGTCAGGAAAAAACCAAATCTGGGTACTAGAGCCCAGCACTACTTTTTATTACAGGGGCAGGAGGATTGAAAATTCTACTCTGAATTAGTTTTTTAAAAGAGTGGGTTGTGTTTGTTCTTCTCCCACCTTTTCAGCACCTAGAGAACATGCTACCCCACACACAGAATTGAGACTTCTTTTTGTGTGACACAAGTCGTCTGGGGTAATATTTTGTGTAAGACCAACTACTTATAAATAAAGTTTCTCCAACCACAATGAATAGGAGGATGTTCACATATTGGAACTGTGCCATGAAATGAATTTTGTGTGTTGTCCTGTTTTTCTTTGGAGTGGGGAAAGTAACGTCTTGCTTACTGCAACTACTTGTTTCGAATAAAAGCATTTAGACAAAATTCTGTTTTGTGTTTATTTAATGATTAGTAATCATCTCAGAAATCTTTCTCTTCATCAGATGTTTGATCCCCTTGCCAAAGTTTTGGTCTTTGAACTTGAACATGGACCTAAAAAAAAAATCAAATAAGCAGTATAAGAAAAAGCAATGTTTACCAAAATATTAAAGCAAAATCAGTATTTTGTAAGAATGCCTTTTTTTCTTCAGAAATTCAGCATGAATGACTCAAGCAGTTATTAGTTAATTCCTTGTTCTTAAGACTCCCTCAACTTTAATTAAAAATTCTTAAGTCAGTTTGGAACAAGATCATGTGAGAAACGCAAACTCTCAACGCTAGTTTGCCTGACTTGACAGTATTTCCCTTGTTCTGTATTACATACCCCTTGTTAATCATCAAAGGGCCATCCAATTGGAGGTACAGCTCAGCTGTAAAGCACATACTTTGCATGCATGAAGCCTGGAGTTCAATCCCCAGCACCACACAGTCTTTCTATACTTCCCTCCTCAGTCCTTTTAGACTCATTCTACCACTGCTGATTGATTAATTATTTTACATTTTTTGAGAGGGTCTCCACTCGGGAATTACGTAAACTGCTCTCAGTGAGGCCCTGAACGGAATGGTGAGCCTCCTGCTCAGCCTCAAGTACAGGCCCAGGTAGTCTTTAACAAGCATTAAAGAAGTCTGTCAGGCATAAATTTTCCAAATTCATTCCACTAATTCCATTTCATTCCATTAACTCTGACCTATTTAGTACATAAAAGGCTCATTTTAAAATGTAGAAAGAGAGGCCAGGGATTTAGCTCAGTGGCATAAGTGCCTGCCTGGCAACCACAAGGTCATGCGTTCAATCCCTAGTACCAAAAAACAAAAATAAAATGTAGAAACAGATTTACCTTTACTCCATCAATTATATGATTTTCATATTGTATTGCATTCTGCAGCTCCTCTTCTGAAGAAAACTGAACCCAACCCAAACCTCTATGAAAGCCAGTCCTTCTGTCCTAAAAATACAAAACATCAAAAGGGAAAGAATCATGAACTTGAGAAACTTTCCATAAGCTCCAAATCAAACGACCAGCTTTTTCATTTGCTAAAATCATACTGCAAACATATATAAATATCACTAACCTTAGCTTACTTAACTTACCCTCGTTAACCAAGATTAAATCCCAGTGTTAATAGAGCTTTTCCACTGTCATTGGACAAGTAAAACTATGGGTAATGAGCTGTTAACATTCTAGATACAAACCACACTGACAGTAATCAAGGAATAAATTATGACCACTGACATACTTATTTCTAACCTAATTCCCAGGGAACTAGAAAATCCCCAAGACCTAGTTATACCTGGTCATTTCTGAGACCAATCATTATCAACACTACCCTCTACCTTTACTATTACATGTTCCTAATAAGAAGTGGCAAAGAAATTCCACCTTAACTTCTGGTTAATTTAAATACTTGCTACTTGTACAAAGTGCTTATCCTTCGACCTACGAATCACAAGAGTAGTATGTTTGAAGACATGCTGCCCTGCCCCTCTAGCCCTCTGATAAACAGATGGAGATGCCTATTTAATGAAGACTATTTGGTCCTCATAAATCTCATTACAAAGTTGTACTTTTATCAAAAATGCTGTATTTTAGATACTGCTTACAGTTCAGACTTCAAAGGTTACTTTATCAGTATTAATTTAGAATGCAGGACGTTTGTGATGATACACAAATGATCCACAACCCCACCAGATAAATACCTCCACGTAACCATTACCACAAATACTGAAGTTTGCGTTAATATTTACATAATATATACAGCCATGTATAGTGGTGCATGCCTGTAATCCCAGCACTCAGGAGGTTGAGGCAAGATGATCACCTTTGAGTTCAAGGTCACCATGGGCTATATACCAAGGTCAAGGCCAGCTGTAACTACAGTTTGATCCTATCTTTAAGTTTTTTTTAAAAAATTTAACATGAATACCTGTAAGGTTATGTTTTAATATTAGTCATAATTTTATCAATAAAGACTTGAACAGCTTCATTTCATGGTAAGGTGATATGCTTTGATTTAAAAAAATCAAAAATTAGAGAATAACCATTTTTTGTTTTTGTAGTACTGGGGTCAAACCTAGGGCCTCATACATGCTAGGCCAAGTACTCTATCACTGAGCTACACCAACAGTCCCCAATAGTTTTTTAAAAATACTCACAAAAGGAACAGTGCACTTTCGTATATGGCCAAACTGAGCAAAATATTCCCTCAGTTCATCTGTAGGAGGGGAGACAATATATTAAAGGTAGTTAATATATTTTGTTTTCTCTAACCTGCATTGCACATATCAAACAGAGTCCCCTAATCTCCTGTGGCCAGAAACTACTTTGCATCCCTTACAATTAAGCAAGCAGTCACAAGAGTAACTATATTTGTTGTAATATACCATACCTGGTGGGGACCAGGACATAGGCAAATGAACTGCTGCAATGGCAGCAGTCTCCATACTCAGCAGTTACCGAGCGTTTTCGTTACACTGTGTTAGGTGTGTGCAGTAAAAACCTTATAAGTAGATCATACAGAAGTCACTAAATGCAACCCAGTTTGTCACCAATCAAGAGATTTCCAAATAGCAGCTCAACTTTTTAGTCTTTCCTAAGTTTACACTGAGTTAAACAGCTGATGCTCTAAAATGTGACGAGCTAATCTCACCTATCCTTCCATCCTTATTTCCTGCCAGCCCATGGTCACTCTCCAGTATATCAAATTAAATTTTCTGTATCCTATCCTACGGAATGTTATCTTTGAATATGTTGTTTGCTTCCTTTGATGTGTCAGTATTCCTATCTCATACCTAATTATACCTATCCTTCCATACTCAAGCCAAATACATCCACTAAGTATTCCTTTACTGGGCTTCTACTACAAGACAATGGACCATATCTGTTAAGATCTGTTTACAATTATACACTTTAATATATATTACAATATATCTTAAAATTACATAATCTCTGTTCTTGTGAACTACAGCTGTAGTTTGCTGGCTTGCATTTTCTATTAGCCATCTATGTTTCCTAGTTCAATAACATTCTGTATGTTTAGTTTGTGAGTCCCACCCACCACTATACTATAAGTTGTATAGAAACTATCATATTTACAGTGTGTGTTACACAATAAGGCTTAAATAATGGATGAATGAATAAGTAAAAGTCTGATGTTATTGGGAAGTGGTGGAACTCTTAAGAGGTGGGCCTCTTGTCTCTTTTTCTGCTTCCCCATGCAGCCCCACCATGATGGTGCACTAACAAGTCTAAAGCAACAAGGCCAACCAACCATGGATCGAAACCTCAGAAACTTGGGGCTGGGGATTTAGCTCAGCGGCATAAGTACCTGCCTGGCAAGCATGAGGTCATGAGTTCAATCCCTGGTACCAAAAAAAAAAAAAAAAAAAAAGAATTCTGAAACGTCTGAAATCCGGAGTTAAAATAGGTGGTAATCTTTGAAAGGATTTTGCCCTAGATAGGACATTACAGTAGTGAGAGGCGGGACCAAGGGACATTTACCTTGAGGTCATTTTCTCCACCAGTAGGCAATTTACCTGTGGAGTGAAATGAACTCCAGTGGGCTGCTTGGGCATCAGCGATGCCCGTTTAGGCACCACCCCAGAGCAAAGCTATACATATGCCCCCCACACGACGCCTCTGGCAGAGAAAGCCAGACCCCAGCAGTCATGGAGTTTCTCTCCACATCCTTAAAATAAAGGCCACTTTACTTTATATTCTGTCTTCTAAGCGCGCAGAAAATCCTATCAATCTCTACCTAAATACCTCCAAAAAGTGACCACAGATTTTAAATTGTAGTAAGCAAACTCAAAACCCCAAATGAAAAAAATCAAAAGTTGGTAAACCTTGACTTCAACACTATCTCCAAACTATCTCTCCTGTGATCTTCCATTTAGTGACCATGAAGATAATTACCCATTTATTGAGTGATCACAGTCGGCAAAAATCTAAGACATTTTTATATAAACTTGTCTAGTACGCGCCTCAATCCTATAAAGTAGCTCCATATTATCGACTCTATTTTTTTTTTTTTTTGGATAATTACACTGAGGTATAGTTGTGAGCCCCTTTCCCATATTAAGTAGTTGAGGTGGTATTCTAACCCAGAAAATCTGGCTTCAGAGTCAACTTCTCAATAACCTTGTACGATCTCCATGCAGCTGCCTGACAGGACTTCACAAACAACACATTTCAACTTGACTCCTCACTTTCTCTCATCCAGCTTCGCCCAAATTCTAAACACAAATTCATCAACTCTGAAAAATTTGGAAATCAGTCTAGGCTTTCTCTCTCATACTGCACCCTTCCCTCCTCAAACCATCACGAAAAGCCGTGGGGTTTGGTTGAAAACATAAGCAAATCTGACCCCTTTACTTTTACCACTTCCTTAGTTCAGATCTTCATCTAAGGCATGGAAGAAAGGCTCGAATTCAGGGTCTTGCACGATAGGCCATCGCTCTAGCACTAAACTACAAGCCTAGCAGGTCCTCGTCCTTGAACAAAATGAAATTACCTTTTATCTCGCCTCCATATCGACAATTTTGCCATCTTGACTCTTAAGCTCCACACCGCAATCCCTTATATATCGTAACTCGAACAAAATCCGCAAATAATAAACTTTTCTACCAAATCACCCTAAATTTAATTGTAAACAGTTCATTACAAACAAAAGTTCTGCGCAGTTACTTGCTAAAAAGCAAATTCGGTATCCCGCCACTACGCTGAGCGCTCAGCAGAAGGCAGAGGTTTTGCCTATTGCTTGGGCCTAAGAATCCCGCCCCTCCCACATCCTCCATCACTCACTGGATGCTGCAGTCCAGGGAATTTTCCTGACGAAAGCAACCGGCCGGTTAACAACTGTACGCAGCGCCGGAGCACCCCTCGCTATGGAGGCTGCCATCTTTACCCTGAAAGACCTCTGCGACCTGGAGTCGCAACCCCGGAAGAGTCTGCTGAAACCCGGAAGAAACTGCCGGTCCCCGAGCAGAGAAACCTGCTTCCGGGTCAGAGGTTACCGACGGCGGGATGGGGAAAATGGCTACAGTTGTGAGCTCTGTGGCGACACTGGCGACTGAACCTGGGGAGGACGCCTTTCGGAAACTTTTCCGCTTCTACCGGCAGAGCCGACCCGAAAAAGGAGACCTAGGAGGCGTCATCGACTTCTCGGCGGCCCACGTAGGCCGCAGCACGGGTCCTGGGACCCAAAAGGTACGGAAAAAGGAACGGCGCGCGCGTCCCACTCTGCTGGCCTGGCTAGTTGGAGCGTCTTCTCAGCGATCCCCGTCCTTCCTGGGCGCCGTGTTAACTGCCGACGAGCGTCACGCTTCGGTGACAAAGCGCGGTGCTGCAGGTTTCTTCATGCTGTCATTCCCCGCCTCGTCCTCAGACCAAAAGCCTGGGATTTGATAGTTTATTCCTACCTTTAACTATTCACGTACAGTGCCACTTCGTTTTGTGTATTACTGCACAGAACGACTTCGTAGATGTTAAGGTACAGTTTAAAAAAACAGACCAGTAATGAACTGGGAGATTCGACCTTCAACGTTTAGTTCCATTTGTGCAAAAAACTAGTCCCAGACTTCTCTATAGCTGTTAGCAAGAGGTCATTAAAAGATCTGAGATAATCTCCGCTAATTGAAATAGTATATATAGAATCCAAACACTTATTCTACTTATTTCTACTTTTGCCCCTGAAAATTAAGAAAGGAACTACAGGGACTACAGGGGGGAGAGGTGGCACAGGGCACACCACAACTGTAGTGTAGTTATATTTCTTTACAGTCACTTTAACATGGAGACATAGTCTTCTAAAGGCCCTTCATGTCCACAGATGTCTGGATGAGGCATTCTTCCCAAGAGACATGTATCTCTCTCAGTAAAATTGCAACGCTGTAGTAACTCTCTACTTGTCTAGAACTCAACTTCTGTGCAATTTCATTTGAACATAGTATGCATTGTAAGACTGTACCCTTGACTCGGGAATGCTTCAGAACCTCACTGAGCTGCATTTATGTATGTTGTACCATTGTGCATTCATACTCCTTACAGCGTAAGCCACCACTGGTGAATGTAACATCAAGCCTAACACAGTACCCAAAAAATACCACAGTGAGTTGAATATGAAAGCTTTACTATTTAGTTCCCAAGCTCAAAGCAAGTGAACAGTAGCAACTTGAGAAGTTGGTACCACAAGAGAGTTGATTAGAGCAGTTGGTAAATAATGGCTAGCAGTCTGGAAAAGGAGAAAGCAGAAAAATTCTTAAAATTTCAATAGTTTGGTTCCGTTTAGCATATGATAGAATAGATTCACAAACACCAGCTCTTGGGTGTTGCTGAATTATCAGTATTAATTATGGCCTATTTAAGAAGTCATGAAAGATGTTTTATCAAACTCAGGATACCTGGAACACTCAGCAGATAAAAACTCAGCAGATAAAGAATGCTTAGAGCATTCTTTCTGTTCCTCCCCAGCTTGCTGTTCCTTACAGCTCTGTATAAACATTAAAATATATATATATGTATATATATATATATATATATATATATATATATCAGAATGTATATATATATAATGTATGTATATATAATATATATATGTATATATATATTAATGTATATATATCAGAAACAGTATGCTAACCAGAGTAAATAGCATTGTGACTTGGGATGTTCCAGTATACCAAATACCCTTCATGAGTCTTACCCAGGTATGGTCTCATAGAAAACAGTAGTATTGCCAGGCGTGGTGGCACACATCTATAGTCTCAACACTCAAAAAACTGAGGTAGAAGGATCACCACAAATTCAAGGCCAGCTTGGGCTACATAGTGAGTTCAGAGCTGGTCTGCACTGCATGGTAAGACCCTGTCTCCAAAAAGAAAACAGTAGTACTGAAGGCCAAACCATCTTTTTATTAATTTTCCTCTTATGACTTACTTTGTATAGCTTTCTAGTATTTGTTAATATATAAATGAAGAAATTAAACCTCCAGGCAGTTAAATTACTCATCTAAAGCTCCAAGGTCAAGTAAGTGGTAGAACTGAGACTAAAATCCCCAACATAAGACAGTTTCATTCCATACCAAAAATACCTTCTGAGGTTGAGGTTCCCCAGGCTGACTTATAAAATAACTTTATCCTTCTAACTTCTGTTTCCTTCCTTTCAGGTGGTCAGATCTCAGCTAAGCGTGTCCTCCGTCAGTGAGCACAATGCACATCGAGCAGGACTTAAGCCAGTCAGCAAATGGCAAGCCTATGGACTCGAAGGCTATCCTGGTGCGTACACTTGACCTCAGGCAAGGTGGAGCCACTCAGTCATTTCTTTAATTTGGAAGGGAGGTACTGGGAATTGAACTCAGGAACTTGCACTCACCAGGTAGGCGCTTATGCCTCTGAGCTATATCCCCAGCTTTATTTCTCTGCTTTAATGGGAGGGTCTGTGAACAAGTAGACAAAGGAGTAAAATTATACATGTATTTTCCACCTCTAAGACGTCCATTTATTTAGCCCCAAAAGTAACAGCAAGATTCAGCAGTGCCTGCGTCCTACAGTAGAAAATGGCACAGCAAATTAAACAGTAAGCACATTGACTCTAGGCCCCCTGCCCCAGATCTGAACATGCCCAGAACTGCTTTAAATAGTAGAATAATTCATAATCATGACTTCAGGCAATTCTCAAATAGCATAACAGCTTAAAATTTGTTGCGATCAAGGCTAAACGTTTTAAAAGAAAATTATAGTTAATGAAATCAAAAGTCCTAATAGACTAAATATTTTAGACTATTTAATTTAGTGATGTTGGGTAGGCCATTTTATAAGTAGAAGAACTAAGATAATAAGAGTGAATAGTATTAGCATTTTAACTATTCTCATGGGGCCATTGTAAATTAATTATAAGCCCTTTAGAAGATACAGAAATGCCTTATTTTGCTGAATAGTGTTACATCTGCCATCCTATTTCTTTGTTTTTTACTTGTTTTGTTGTTGTTAAGACATAGTCTCACTGTGTTGTTCAGGGTGGTTTCAAACTTGAGCTTGTTGAATAATCTTCCCACTTCAGCCGTCCCAAGTAGCTGAGACTAGGCACATGCCACCGTTCTAGCTGTTTCTTCTATATAAGAGGCCTCATATACTTTAGTTCAGTATAAGGTCATAAAAACAAACAGTTGAGTGATCTTGCATTTCTGTATGAAAGCATCATGCTTTGTGAGTTTGGGTAAATGTAAAGCATGTCCCATCATCAATGTTTTATAAACTTATTGTTCCTTGGGAACTGCTCTCTTAACTCTCAACTCTAGTACCATTTTCAAGGTCATGTTTTTCATTGTTTCTAAGATAGCATCTCACTATGTGATCCAGGCTGGCCTTGAACTTGCCGTGTAGCACAGGCTGACCTTCAACTCATGGTGATCCTTCTGCCTCAGCTTCACGAGTGCTAGGATTACAGGCATATGCCACCATGCCCAGCAAGTCTATGATTTTCTGTTGCTGTAGGCCTTCTTTTATGAACAGTTTGTACAAACTACAGATTACTAACCCCACTTGGGTGTCATGTTTTCTAAAATGGTCTACCTTTTTTGTGAGATTTTCTAAGATTTCTTTCTTAAAGCCACATTGTTTGGCTTGGTGCCTTCTTGTGTCTTTAAGGAATTCTCCCATTCCTTCTCATTGTAAGTTGCATGTAATAGAAGTATAATGTCTCGCCAACCATTGTGACACACACCTGTAATCCCAGTACTCCAGAGGCTGTGGTATGAGGATTGCTGAGTTCAAGGCCAACCTGAACCACACAGCATGGGTAATAACAGTCTTTTTTTACTCTGAGTTGATTGGAAGGATTGTGTTTACTTCTAGAACTCACTTATTCTGAAGGAGGCTGAGTACACCAAACCTTCCCTTCCAAGGCAAACCCAAAGGACAGTGGATCCGGAAACTAGAAAGTTAGTCTAGAGAAGGGAGATTTGGTAGGAAACATGACAACACCAGACATTTCCAAAATGATCAGACACAAGAAGGAATGAGAAGGAGAAAAGAGTAGTGTTAAGGAATAGGTTGCAGTGCCAGGCTGCTTGGACTCAGACTGGTACTACTATCGAGCTGTATTGCTGTAGGTGTCAGAACTCAAGACCAGTGCCTGACAAAGGGAGTCAGATTTTTTACCTAAAGAAAAGAAAAGAACACTACAGTTGTCTAAAAATTCCTAAAGAGGAATTTGCTGTCTGTTGAAACTTGGACTAGTTCAGAAGGATTCTTCCTTTAATATGATACTTTGGGGGGATATTATAGTATTCCTTATTTTGTGAAATAATAAATACTAGGAGATGGTAGGTAGTAGAAGTATGCATTTATTTATTTGTTTTGTGGTATCCAAGCCCTTTGTACTACCTCTTCAACCCTTTAAAAATGTTTTATTTTGAGATGGGCCTTGCTAAGCCATTAAATTGCCCAGGATAGGATTAAAATTGGAATCCTACCACAGCATCCCAGGGATTATAGGCAAGTGCCACTTGTTTGTTTTTTAATGTCACTTTGTCCCCCAAATACTGACTTTCTTATCACTCTTACAAATTATTTGGAGATTTAACTGCTAAAATGAAATACAAAAGTAGGAACTCCTATTAGATTCTACTTTTTGAAGACATAAGGAATCAGATAAGTGATTAAATGGCTATTGAAATGAATTTCTACAATGGATCCATTAAAAATGTTTATTGCTCAGACTCTTAATGGTTTTCTCTTTCTTTTACTGCTGCATTGCTGTACAGTCTGCCTAGGTAATAAAATCCACCAGTAACTTTCAGTTTTTTCTTAGTTGATAAAAATCTTCTTTATTCGAAACTGCCTTGGAACCAGCATGTAATTAACTTTGGTCAGTAGGCTTAGTTTGGAGTATATGCTGTTGATAATACTAAATGCAGTATTAATAACTGCAGTGATTACACTGTCCTCAGTGAACATTTATAAGCTATTTTTTCCCCATAGCTGCAAGAATCTAAACATACTAAAATTTTAAGTGCTTTTAGTATGATTTAGTTATAGTGGAGAAATCTTCAGGTTATTTTCTCTATTTTTCTGTCAGGTCAGCAGAAGTTCCTTTCTGCCAAACTTAATGTGATTTAAATCTCTTTGAAATTTTAGTAAACACAATTTTATTGGAAAACAGCCATGCCTATTTGTTTACTTATTATCTATGGCTACTTTCCTGCTGCACTGGCAGAACTGAGTGCTAAAGAGAACAAATAACCTTCAGAACCTGAAACACTTACTTTCTTGCTCTTAACAAAAGGTGTTTGCTAGCTTCATCCAGGCTAGATCTTCACATTACTGCTGTCTTTAACTCAGAAATCCCTAAGTATTAGTGTTTTCATCTGTTTTTAATATCCTTCTGCAAGGGGGACATTACACTAACAGATAATCATTGCCTTTTGTATAATTTCATTGATTTCTTCAGGACCTTTCTCAATCAAGCTTTGTTTTGCTGAGATGCTTTGCTCTTCATGGGGGAAACAGTCTGGCAGACACAAATCCCTTCAGCTTTCACTGGTCCACAACAAGCAGATGTTCTCATTCTCATCCTTTAATCTTAGCAGAAGAGAAATTCTTTCATTTCAAAACCAGACTCTTTCTCTCTTTCTTTTTTTTTTTTTTTTTTTTTTTTTTTTTGTCTTTCATTTTTATGGTACCAGGGATCGAACTCACAACTGCCTGCTTGCAAGGCAGGCACTTAGGCCGCTGAGCTAAATCCCCAGCCCCCTCTCTCTCTTTCTTGAGAAAGGGTCTCACTCTATAATTCAGGCTGGTCCTAAACTCACTGTGTAGACCAGGCTAGCTGCAAAATCACAGCAATCCTCCTGCATCCACTTCCCAAGTTCTGGGATTACAGGCATGTGCCACCATGCCCGGATTCTTCACCATCTGTAGTCATTTATGACTACTACTCCTCAGCCTTTGTAACCAGTCTTCTAAAAGGAATTACTCATGTGACCTACTGTCCCATCTCTAGAAACTTCACATCCTCCAAACTTTTCTATCCCTTTAATTCTTAATAAAGTATCTGGTATGTAGTATGTGTTTTTTGAATGTTTGATGTATAAGTGAGTCTTTACCTTGAACAGGATTTCATTTAAATATTTTTTACAGAGGAAGAAAATGAGAGTGTCTTACTGTCAAAGTCACAAGGATATGTCTAATATACATGGTATATAGTTACCTGCATCATACCATACTTAAAAGATGAGTATATCATCTTTCCTGTTATATCAGTCAAGGTTCAGTCCAGAAAGAAGGCATAACCAATTATTTAACAAATGACATAATAGTCAAGTATTAGAAAATTCAAACGGAAAAGGGAACACTGAAGTGGTACACAGAGGTAGCAGCTGTGGGAAAAGGCCACCATCCCTACAACTGGGTAAGGACAAGAATTTGGGATTACTAAATTTAGAAGCATGTAAGAGGGTCAACATGAAGATTTAGATTTCTTTTTTCTTTCTTTGTTGGCAGTACTAGAGGTTAAACCCAAGGTCTCACACATGGTAGGCAATGCACTTTGCCCCTGAACTACATTGCCAACTTCCAAAACTTAAACATCTGAGGAAAGGACGTGGGCTGGTTCTAGTGGTATGGCAAAACCATGTAAGAACCACCTCTTGCCCTCAGTCATCCATTAGTGTTCTATGTAGGGATAGATTAATAGGGAACCAGATGGCAAAGAAAAAAAATTAAATTTGAAGGTTCCAGCCTCATAGTGTGAAGCCAAATACAAAAGAATCAATTGGGTTTTGTTTTTTTATTTAATTTACATTTATTTTTTAATGCTTTTTATTTCAAGGAGAAAAAGGGAAAAAAAAACACAAAATTTCAAAATACATCAATTGGGGCATTAGCAGTACATGCATTGTTCATTGTCATCCCCAAATCATTCACCCAGAGCATAAGTCATCTTCATTCAGTTGTCTGAACAATACCAGCACAAATCTTTCTCTTCAGTGAACTCAGAAAAATCAGTAGTGTAATTACCTTAACTAGTTTTTTATATACATACATGTATACATACTGTTGTTTCATCCCAGCTTCTCACACTGGTGAGACAATCTGATGTTTACAAATGTGTGTCTTATTTATTTCACTTACAAGTATGGTTTCAAATTATATCCATTTACCATACAAGTCTCCAGTGTATACAAGGATCAATTTGATGCTGAGAGGCAAAATAGAGTAATAACCAGTGCTCCATTCACTGGTAATCTGCATTTTAGTTAAATTCAGTATAAAAGTTCAGCCTGCTGTGCCTTTAGTAAATGAAATAAGGAGTTAGAGGTCCTGAGTGACCTTGTTTTGCTTGTTTTGTTTTATTTTGTTTCGTTTTGTTTTGTTATGATAGGATCTTGCTTTGTAGCTCAGGTTGGCCTTGAACTCACCAGGTAGCCCAACATCCTCCTATTTTAGCCTCTTCTGAGTGCTGGGATTATAGATATGTTCCACTACACTCAGTTCTTTGGATGACTCTAAAATGATTACACTTGTAGTAGTAGAGAGGACTTTTGACACTAAGTTCTAAAGGCTTGCTTTAGAGTAACACAGTTGTCAGTTAACCTTGGGGAATGTATGTTTCCCTGTAGAACAATCCGAAGATCCAAAGATAACTGCATAAGTATAGATATCTGCTGTTCACCAGAACTTAATATCTTTTCAGCCAGGTACAATGATACTACATACCTGTAATCCTAGCATTCTAGGGCACTGAGGGCAAAAGGATAGTAAATGCCTGCCCAGTCTTGGGCAAATTAGCTGGACTGGTCTCAGAATGAAAATGGGCTGGGGATATAACTCATTGTGAAGGTCTTGGCTTTAATATGGCGGGGGGGGGGGCACCTTTCTAGCTTTTCACTAATTTTAATTGTAACCAAAGGACATGAAGAATAAATGACAGAATGTGAGTATAAGGATGTTAACAAAAAGAAATTATATGAGTAACTGATGGAGAATTTTCTCTCCTTTTTTTATCCCCACTCATCTTTTTATAGGATTTATTTTTATCCCAAACCCCTTCCTCCCAGGATATCAGTGGCACTGGGTAAAGCAATGCCTTAAGTTATACTCCCAGAAACCCAATGTGTGTAACCTGGACAAGCACATGAGTAAAGAAGAGCCCCGAGACCTGTGGGAACAGAGCAAAGAGTTCCTAAGGTAAGTCTCACCAGTCAGAATGAGGACTAATAGTTCAGGTCATCACTGATTTTTGAAGAGCCTGTTCAACAAGGAAGTGAAAGTGACTGTCCAGGTTTTCCCCCCTCATTTCCACACAGAGTATAGTTTTCTTTCTCCGGGAATGTTTGGACAGATGCTTTGACAGTTATATTAAACTGAGATCCATTCTAAAGATTTGTTTATCATAGCTAAATATTGAGTTCATCCACATTAATCATGAGATCCATTTAGTCAGCTTCAGCACTTTTTTACTTAAAGAGAGCTCTTTTTGAAGGCTTGTTTTTATCTTAGGAAAAAGTATCATTGCTAACTCTTTACTTCTGCTCTCTTAGATGGAGTTGATGCTACCAGCAAACAGATAGGTCAGTTCCTCTTGGGAGAACAACAAATATTTGTACAGCATCTTCATGTTGTTTCATCATTCCTTTCACAGTCGTATCATGTACCTTAATGTTTAAGCCACTCTGTAGCTTCAAATAAGTTCTTTTTTTACACTTCTGACTCTTATTTGGGGTCAGTGGCAGATCAGACATGATGCTAGACATTGGAAATAAAAGGCTAAATAGGACATACTCTCTGTACTCAAGAATTAATAATTAATGGCTGATACCCATTATGTACAAGAGTAATCACAGTGGAGGGCAAGGGATATAGCTCCATAGCACAGCACCTGCCTGGTAAGCACACAAGGTTCTGAGTTCCATTCCCAGTGCCAAAAAAAAAAGAAGAATTACAGTGGAGCTCAGACGCTGTTATATGACATAAGTTTAAAAGAATAATGTGAGACTTACATAGAAGGAAATAATTTTTCCAGACATGGTAGAGATGTCAAAAGAGAAAAAATATTTTTTTAAATTGAGACTGTTAATCTCTTTTGTGTCTACTTGAACTGATCTTCAAAAATGATTGTGGGTTTACCAGTTGGGAATCAAAAACACTGGCTAGAGGTATAGGTCAGTGGTAGAGCACTTGCCCAGCGCTCATGAGTCCCTGGGTTCAGTCTCCAGCACTGCAAGAAAGAATAATGAGCCAAAAAGGGGAAATTTTACCTGTCAAGGAAGTAGCATAAGCAGAGATGTGATAGGGAGCTCAGGATGTATGTGTGTGTTCATATTTATGCAGCAGATACTTACTGATTTCTAGTATGTGTCAGATACTGTACTTAAGAGACACTCAAAGACAGATAAGAAAGTTGCTGTCCTCAAGAAATTTGTTGTTAAATCCAGGACAGAGATAAACAGATAATTAAATATAACTTGCCAGGTACAGGTTTAGAGTTAATAAGATATAATGAGAACAGTTACTTATGTGACTGGGTTGGGTTTTGATTTTGAGAAATGCCTCCTGGAAATTAGAGGTAGGTAGAGGAAATGTGAATCAGGAAATATGGATTAGAGGCCAGGTATGGAGGATGAGTTAGTGATCTAGAGCACTAGTTCTGAAGTCATGTCACGGAGTATAGATACTGGCTCTGCCAATTAGTGGCCGTTTAAATGTGAGCAGTTTTCTTAACCTTTCTGTCTCTCCTAACAATCCTTTCCTTGTTGAATAGTGTGGAGATTAAACAAGATATTACATGGGAAGTCCCTACAAGAGTGCCAGTTAACATTCTTCCAACTTCCTATCCTACTTTGTCATAAGTGGCTGTATGGTGCAGTTTTTAGAAACTGTTGATAGAAACTGTTTTTAGAAACATGTTGATACTGACAAAGTAGATTTTATTAACTTCAAAGAAAGAACTAAGAATCAGTAGTTTTACTTGAAGCCTTCTAAGGTTTGTAGGTACAGTATAGGTGGGAGCAACAAGAAAAATTGTGTTCTTTACCTTTTCATTATACCTTCTTTAGAACTGACAGCAAAGTAAAGATCGTGATTAAGTTAGTCAAAAAGAGTTTATGGTTATTAAAACAGACTGGTTTCAAGTAATTTATTTTTTCCTCTTCTGATACATGACTGTAGAAATCCCTGCTGTCTTCTAAGATAGTGTAGATGAATCTCTGTAATAAATCATCCTGTAGACAATGGTGAGATAATTTTTTTTGTCTAATCAATTAGCAGAAGTAAAAAATGTGATGGTTACTGTATTTTTCAAAGATTAGGAGAAATTGATATGCTTAGACATTGTGCCAGAAGCATTGAAAGTCAGTTAGTACACCCTTTTGATTTGATTGACTCTGTTCTATTATGTCACATTTGGTTCTACTCCCTTCCAAAAAAGTAATAAGAACTGTGAGAGCAACAAAACTCAAAATGAGTAATTGTCATTGTACAAAAGAGAGGAAAAGAAAGTGTTCTAAATGATATAACTGCATGTATATATAAGTGTATAAGATAGGTAATGATATTACTGAGTTTTGTTGGGTCAGTGAACAGAACTGTTTGCAGTCTCACTGTTGGAATGTCCACTTTACAAGCTTTAATTTTGTGACTTGAACAATTATTTCTAAGATGACAATATGTAATCCATTAACTAGTGATTTCCTACTGTTTATTTTTTTCTGTAAATCTGTATAACTTGTACCCTTTCTCTGCTTTTTTTTCCTCCTTAAATAAAATTTAAAAAGAAAAAAAAAAAGTCAATTAGTAGGTCCCTAGGTCTTATTTTGTCACTGTGTTTTACTTTCCTCATATAGGAAGTGAAAGTATTAAACTATTCAAAGTGATTAAATTGTGGTTACTCAGAATCATGTAGCCCTTACCACTTTCCCAAACTGTATCAGAGATTGAGAGGTTCTGTTGTTTTAAAAGGTTCCTTTGGAAGCCAAGGATGGTGGCTCACACCTGTAATCCAACACTTGGGAGGCTGAGGCAGAAAGATCACTGTGAGTTCAAGGCCAACCTGAGCTACATAGTGAGTTCAAGATCAGCCTGAACTACAAAATAAGACCTTGTCTACAAAACCAAACCAAAAAAAGGGCATGGAGGCTCACATCTGTAATCCCAGCACTCTGAGAGATTTAGGAAGGGGAATCACATGTTCCAGCACAGCATTTAAACAATGAGCAAGGGGTAGAACAAGGATTTTAACTTGCAGTTTGGCCACCTAAAAGGACCCTGTCTCAAAAGAAAAAGAAGAAAAAAAGAAAATATATTGAGATATAGCCAGTGCAGATGCCCTAGATTCAGCCCTCAGTACTGCAGAAATAAAACCAAAATGAAAAATACCAAAAGATGCCTGTGCAGATTCTGACTATTGACTATACTATCCTCCCACATGAAGAACCAGGAACAAAAGGATCTCTCAGGATCCTCTCACTTTTAACTCTTAGAATTCTATGGTCACTTTAACTAGGAAATAAAGAAGAACTACTTGAACTTAGAAGAAAAATAGGGCAGTTCAAAAAATTAGGGCATTTCAGACCTATGTTCTGTTCAGTGTTCAAAGTGAGTCAACCCTAAAGAATACACAGTTGGGATACAAGTGTCTGCCTCACAGCCTTGTCTAGAAAGACTAATAGGAAACATTCTGTTGTAGTCTGTAATTAGATATCCCCTCAAAGCCACATGCAGTCATGCAGGCAGGCTTCTAGAATTTATGACTAATTCATAGTCCAATGTTAGGATTATTGGGTGTGTGTGCTACACCCACCCTAGAGGGGGCAGCCTACATAAAATGTAAAGAACGGAAAGAGTTCTATGCCAGGTCCTCCCCTTGTTGCTTGTGCTGTGTTCCACTGCCATGAACTGTTCCCCTCTGCCATGTGCCACCCTGCCTTGGAGGAATTGGAGCTGATTACAGACAAACCTCTCCAAACTGTGAGCTTCCTTCATTTTGAGCATCAGGTATTTTGTCTCAGCAACAAGGGAAAAGTAACCAACACAGATTTTAAGAGTTTGTTCACAGGGCTAGGGATTTAGCTAAGCGGCCTTAGTGCCTGCGTGGCAAACACAAGGTCAAGAGTTCGATCCCTGGCACCAAAAAAAAAAGAGCTTGTCCACAGGCGGTTAGATTAATCAAGCATGGCATATCCCAGCAATAGAATGCAGCCACTGTACAGCCATTAAACACCTTAAATCCACCTGAGGAATGGTAGTGCACATCTCTAATCCCAGCATTCTGGTGGCTGAAGCAGGAGGATTGCTGCAAGATCAAGGCCAGCCTAGGCTATAAAGTTAGTTCAAGGCCAACTGTAGCTATGTAGCAAGACCTGTCTCAAAAAACAAAACGAAACAAAAAAAACATAAATCTAGATGACCTCTTGCAAATATGATAAACTTTAGAGTCAGAACAAATTCAGTCATTTCTCAGCCTCTCTATCCCAGTTACTCTTTCCTTTTTTTTTATCGGTACCAGGGATTGAACTCAAGACTGCCTGCTTGCAAGGCAGGTGCTTATGCCGCTGAGCTAAATTCCCAACCCTCCTATCCCAGTTACTCTAAGGCATCATCATGTCTTTCCATAGAACACTGGAATGGCCTATTTTATCTCCTAGAGTGTGCTCTTAATTCCCTTCAGGTGGTTCTCTACAGGAGGTGTACATATTGTTTGTTGTTTTTCTCACACTTTCATATCTGCAGTTCAGTTCTGATGCAGACTATCTAGAGTTACCATAGACTTCACAAGTTTAAAGCATAGTGGAGATTTAGCTCAGCGGCCTAAGCGCCTGCCTTGCAAGTGTGTGGTCGTGAGTTCGATCCCCAGTACCGATAAAAAAGAAAAAGACAGAAAAATAATGCATAGTCCCTAACATGACTACTGTCATTTCAGATACCAGCCACCAATTTGGGAAGGTCTCCAGGATAACTACACCTATGTTCAGGCCAGACTGATGACTCCTTTAGGTTCAATAATTCACTGAAACAGCTCCCAGAACTCTAGAAAGCATATACTTATGATTACGGTTTTACTGTAAAGAATACAGATTAGGACTAGCCAAATGAAGACACATGGGGGCAAGGTCCTTTTGCTTTATAATCATGGCATATCACTCTTTCAGCACATTGGTGGTTCATCCACCAGTAATCTCTCCTAGGCCTTA